TGCATACACGCTGATGGTGGCAGGAGCCATCAACGGCGGCCATCTCGATGTCGCTGCTGCCTCCATGCAGGAGGTGCGTATGGGGCATGCTGTGCGGTGTAATGTGGTGCCATGTGGTGCGGTGCTGCATGTGATGTGATTGCATTCCATGCCCTGTCAGTTCGTGCATCCATATCCATTGTCCATGTCCCCACCACTCATCTTCGTTGCATACACGCACCTGAATCTCATGCATTCATCCCCTTCCCCTGCATGCATCCCCATCTCCTGCATGCATCCCCAACTCCTGTATAAATCCCCATGCATCCCCATGTTCCCACCAGATGGTGGAGCGAGGCATGGAGCCCAGCGGTCCCCAGCTGTCCACGCTGCTGCGCTTGCTGCAGAGGCGGGATGGCCTGGGCGCCCACAGCAATAATCACAGCAGCAACAATGGCAGCAGCAGTGGTGGCGGCGGTGAAGCTGACATTGAAGATGCAGAGGGCCATGGGGCATCAGTGGAGTCATATCTGTGCCTCTGTGCGACCCTGGCTGCAGCAGGGATAGTGGAGCCGTGTCTCGTCTACCTCTACATTGACGCCCTCCGCCTCTGCATCATTCGCATGCTTTGATATGATCTGATCGGATCCGCATACCCTCTTTTAATCCGAGGTTGTGTTACTGGTGTGCTTTTGTTTCTTGCTTTTATGTCCTGGTTGGTTTGTTTTTTTCCTGTGGGACATGCAGAGGAGCCCTGTTCACCCTTGGTGAGTGAGTGGCGCTCTGCAATGCTCCCTTCAAAAAACGAACCATTTGGTTTCTTAGGCAGTTTTTAGGCACTCCAAAAAGAAGTTACCGGTACGTCTTGAGCAAGTACCTAATATACCGTATATCTCAACCGTGCGTGGCGAGGAAGAGAAAAAACTGAGACACAAGCGGTCTCCCCAAAGCCACAACTCGGTGGGGAAGTGGAAATGGAGGTAGGGACTGCAAGACAATGTATGAAAGAATAAGCGCGTTGACTTCCGCTGTGCTAAAAGCTGTATGTATGTATATATTAATGAATAACTTAGGTTCAGGAGTGAAGCACCTCCTGACGAAATATGGAGCATAGATGTCCTGCGTTGTCGGCGCGAGCGTTGGAGGCGGAAGTACGCTCCGCGGACCGGACGCGTCGGGGGAGTCTGGGGCTGGACCGCGCGGAGCTGGTGCGCCGCGGACTGGAATGCGCAGGGTATGACGACGCCAGCAGGTGCGAACTATTGCGCGGATAACAGGGGCCGGAGTGAGAGCTGGTAGCGGTTCGCACGGCGCCAGGCTCGGCGTAGAAGTTCAAGTCCTTGGCCCAGGAATGGCTGATCGCGAGATCTCTAGGCGCCGCGACGTCGAAGGACGCATGGCGCCGGAGAGAGCGAGGCCGGTTCTCCAGGCAGGAGCAGCTTCCATGTTTCCCGCTCATGGGGTGACAATATTTAGGTGAAGAAGATTGTTTCTCTCTGTGTTGTTGACAGTGAGCAGCATGCGCCGACATTCGCCGCTCCAGTGACGAGTAAGCACAAGGTGTTCGAGCTTCAGAATGGAATGCCACCGTGGCGATGTCAGATTCGTCGTCCGAGTCGGGTGTCCGTTGCGTGGCGGATTGCAACCGTTCGATGAAGCTCTGGCATTTAACGGCGCTGAGCTGGCGTTGGAGTTCCAGCAGGTGTAGCTTTCCTTCCAGCGACGCTAGTTCCACATCTACTACTCTTATAGTAGCGCTTCCTGTAGCGCTTCTTGTAGTGCTTTCTGTAGTGCTTCCTGTATAGCCGCGATTCACGGCGGGACGCGCCTCCAGAGGGTTATCGTAGGCGGGGAAAGCAGGTCGCGACGCGGCGATAACTTGTGCTTCACTGATTGGAAACCGACGAGCCATAGCATTTAAAATTGGAGACGACTCGTCTGAGGGAGCCGAGATAACTAAAATTGCTGGGATGGAGCTGAGAGAGTGTGAATGTATATTTGTAATATTTGTTTTGCAGGCGAGTTTAATCCGACGTCAGGGTAGCTTGCGGGAATTGCGAACCACGGTAGCTTAAATATTTCCAACGCGCTGTGCAAGGAAGTCGTGTGCTGCATGTAAGTTCAGGGGAACTCTCCTCGCTTTATGCTTTCAGTCACTCACTCAGCGTGGCTTCACTCTGTCACTCGGCCTAGGGCTTCGTTCGCGTCGTTCACTGCAGGAAAGGTGCTCCACCTTTTCTGCAATGCTTCTTCGGATAGGGAACCGAGAGCAAGCATTGGCCCAGCGATGCCGATTCAGCATACCCCTTGACGAATGCTACAACTTGGGTCATGGTGCGATCCTGTGAGAGGTTGTTGCTAGGTTGGTGTGCCAAGTGAGCGTGCCATGCTGCGGTGGACAGGGAAGAATCGCTAAGACGAGGAAGAAGCACCAGGACGGACAGAAGAGGACACGGAATCAATGCCTGCTCGCAGAACACCACCATGGAGGTGAGTTGGCGCTGGAGCGGCGAGGCGAAGCAGGAGGAGAAACGGCTCCCCGAGCCGCACCCTTTCCGGATTGGGGTTTATATTTGTTTTTCCTGCCCCGAATAAAGAAGCACAACCCAACCACGAAAGCCCCGAATAAAGAAGCATCAACCCAGATAAAGGAGCAGTGATCGGCGAACTGCGGTTCCATCAGATCTTGGAACGGTGGTGCCTCTCACAAGCTTGCCTTGCGGATTGCGCTGCCCCCACATCCCTCTCTGCCTCCCCTCACTGCTTCCCCTCACTGCCTCCCCCTTCACTGCCTCCTCCCCCGGGCCCCCCGACTTCCCGCCCCCTTTCCCTGCCTTGCTGGCAGCATCCATTCAGCCTGTAGCCATTGGCTGGTGCGCTGCACAAGCACAATATACGGTTACTGCGCGTCAACCAATCATCAACGTTTATGGCGAAAAGCGGAGTTTCTGGACTGGACGCGATCCTTTCGGGTGTGTGCGCGGGCAGGGCGCATGGCGAAATTGAGCGGGGAGGGTGTGCACACGTTACTGAAACGAAAGCCCCATCGGAAAAGGGTCGTCGGAGCGGTTTTGCCAGTGTCGACAGGAGGGGTCGTCGGAGCCGGGTCTGACGAGGCGGGCGACTGACGCGCGTGCGGGCCCGCCAGCCTGGCCCAGGGCTGGGCCGAGCGCACGACCGCCGCCCCGCAGCCCCGCTCCGAACGTGAACAGCGACCCACGTTACCGGGTGGGGTCGGCGAGCTGGCGACCCCTCGCGCGAGGGAAAGTTACCCTCGCGCGAAGGCAGCCCACACGTGCCACCTGCCCGCGAGGTCCTAGTAACCCATCGCGGCCTGCCCGGACGGGCAGGCGAGGGGCGTGCGAAAATTCTGGGCCCCCTCGGGACACTCGACAATTTCGCGACCCGTTACGGTGCCGCCACGTGTTCGCCCGTGGCTTCGCATCGGGCGCATGCGAAATTTCACACGCTGCGAAATCAAAAACCTCTCGCATCGCGATCCGCTACGAAATCGACACGTGTCGGCCGTAGCGTCGCTCCGCGCGCATGCGAAGTGTGCGTCCCCTCGCCGACCTGGGCCAATGGACGCGAAGTCGACGCCCTGCCAAGGCGGAGACGGGCCACCCGTGCCACTTGCGCATGCGCCCTCCGAGCCCTGCCGAGACAGGGCCCACACCCTTGGGCGATGCTGAACGGGCCTGGGGTGGGGCACCACCTCCATTTCTTGGTGGAAGGTGGCTTCGCTCCTCATTTTCCGCATCTCGTTTCGATTCTCAGACCTTGACAGCTCTGCGCCTCCCCTCTCTCCTACCTTAGCCGTCCGCGTCTTTTGTTAGTCGATAGATATGGAGCCGAGCCCCGACGCCGATAAGTCGGCGCCGACTTCTGCTGACTTTCCCCTTCGTGTGCGAATGGGTCGCGGTCTCAGCTTCACCTTCGAGTGGAACGACTTCGCCGTCCTTCGCGACCATAGTATAGAGTTCAACGAGAGATGCTTAGGACTCGGCATCAGGTGGGACTCGGGTAGTCGCGGTGGTTGATTAGTGTAGATGTCGGCGCCGACTATCTCTAGCTCCGTTGGAAGTCGCATTGTCGCTGTTTGTCATCAGACTTACGTCCGAGTACGAGACAAAAGGCATGGTCCCCGTCCAGGGACGTCGGTCGGCAAAGCAAGCGTCGACCACGTACTGTCCGCGTTTGACGTACGGTAGACGTCGACCTGGTAGCGTTTGCTCAGCAGCCATGTTATCATCCCCTATGCTCACTCGTGCGCTCAGGTTCGCTTGGTTTCGCATTGGGCGGGACGACCAGCGGTTGTGGGTAATCGGAGTCGGCCCGCTTCGATCGGCCATGAAGGCCGCCGACCATTCTTGCTTTGCGACGGTTTTCGACGCCGACATCGCCGCTATCCCATTGCGATCGACGTGAGCTGGTCCCCCGTTGTCCAGTTGTCGTTTTGTGTAGTCGGTCGCATCATCGCCTAATGATGTGGTCGGCGCCGTCTTGCATGTGCAGCGGCGGCCCGCTTCCAGGGTCACACTGCAGCGTCATAGCCATCCTCTACCCAGGAGATCTGCTGAAGGCTGAGGGACAGGTCTGCAGGACCTCGATCCGGCACATCGACCCGCATACCGGGAAACTGAAGCACCGCGACGAGGCCGTCCGCGTGCTGAAGTAAGTTGTGAATAGTCGTCGCTTTCTTGCTTGTTAGTCGCCGACAGAGGGTATCACATGCTGACCTTTTTCTTTTTACTACGATGCTCCAGGCTATTCCGCACGGCTGTCCTGGCCGAGCTGGGGCGTCCCGGTAGGAAGTGGGACGGGGCGCCGCCATCACAAGCAGTGGTCGAGGACAGGCTTGCCGACTGCGACGACCCTATCCGCGACGTGAGTTGCGCGTTAAAGCTCGGCTCTTAACGTTCTGCGCGTATCTGTATGCACCGCTCATATTGTTCCGCGCTTGCCTGTGTTGTATGCAGAAAGTGCCGGGCACAGTGTCGGACGGGCATGTCGGCACCGGCATGCTTGCCGCGACGTCGTTCGGGTGGGTGGCCAAGCAGATCGACCTGCTGACGGGCGACAAGGCTCGAAGTGCGGTGAGCATCGAGAACATCAAGGCAAAGGGTTTGAAGTCGCTCCGTGATAGCATGGTCGAGTACAACTGCAAACGCGTCGCCGAAAAACGATCTGCGGCGCCGACTTCAGGAGCCGTTGGAACCGCCGACAGTGCGATTGATGACGACGGCGCCGAAAGTCAGACGGCGCCCCAGGCAGCAGCTGCCGACCAGCACCAGCTGGACTTGCCGGTGTCCAGAGGAGGCGACGCCGCGGCAGGTGCAGGAGGAGGAGGAGGCGACGCCGCGGCAGGTGCAGGAAGGAAGGTTCAAGATTCGGAGTCGTCGGATTCGGACTCAGAGTCGGAGTCGGAGGGGGAGGAGGAGGACGAGGCGGCGAAAGAGAAGAAGGTCGAGGAGGATCACGAAGAGGAGGAGGAGGAGGAGGAGGAGGAGGACGAGGACGAGAACGATGAGGTGGTGGAGGTTGAGGAAGGGATGGATGAGGCGGAGAACGACGAGGAGGGGGTGGAGGCCGAGGTGCAGTACGAGCTGCAGTACGAAGACGGTACGGTTGTGGCGTTGGGGTCGGCGGATGAAAAGAATGAGGAAGCGGAGGATGGCGATGTGGGTAATGCTACGAGGTCGGCAGAAGATGGGGGGAAGGAGAAGGATGAGGTCGGCGCGGAGGCAACGACGGAACAGGGCCAGGAGGAGGCGGCATGCGAAGGTGCGAAGGTGTCGGTCGACGCCGGCGAAAGGGCGAACATCACGGGCATGCAGGAGACGGAGGAAGCATCTGGTCGGCAGGGCTCTGAACAGGTCGACGTCGAGGAATTGCGACGGGAGAACTTGCTGTTGAGGGCGGAGAACGCTCGGCTGACGGCGTTGCTCGATGAGGAGCAGGCTCGGCTGGACAGGTTTTTTGTTGGGCTACGTGGACTCGTCGACCACCTGAAAGAGTTGGCCGATCAGGTCGACAACACCGACAAGTTTGCGGCGGAACAGCTGCGAAACGCGGCGGAGGCCATGTCGCAGACCATCACGGGCAACATCACCGGCAGCTTCGACGAAGCGTGGAAGACGATGAAGACCTTCGCGGAACAGGCGTCGGCGTGGTTGGAGGACTTCGACAATCCGGAGGGTCGTGTGGCATGTGCACGCGCTGAAGCTGTCGACGCCTTGGCCGAGCACGTGGATGGGGTGGTGGGCGCTGCGAGGCGGGGTTTGGAGCTGTACATCACGACGCAACTATCCGCCGCGCAGGTCAACATCGCCACCGCTGTGACCTCCAGGCTCCCCGTGCAGCCGCCGCCACCGCCTCAGCCCACGCCGCCCGCCCTCCCGGAAGAGCTCTTGAAGTCGTTCAAGGCCGACATCATGAAGACGGTGACGGAGGCCACCCAGCAGTCGTTCGTTGCTTCCGGGATGAAGATGTTGACCGAGATGATCGGCACGGTGGCGCCTGGTCGACGTGGGTCGTCGCCGTCGGCCAATGACGCAGATCAAGCGCAAAGGAGGGCGGCCGACAAGCAGGGCGAGAAGAGGACGGGCGACGGAGACGACAAGGAGAGCGTGAAGCGGAGCAAGGGATCGGACGGGAGCCGCGGCACGAAGCCTCCTGCTCAGAGCGTGGTCGAACAGCTAAAGTCGAAGGCGTGGTGGAAGGTGATAAGGACGTCGAACAGCAAGGGAAGCAGAAGCGGGAAGGCAGAGGGTGGCCCTGCCGACGGGGTTGCCGCTAACGTCGCTGCACCGCCTGGCCCGCCTTTGGTCGCCGAGCAGACCAAACCGCAGGCGACCTCCGGGAAAGGCGTGACCGACAAGGAGGCCCCTACTGCTCAGGCGACGAACGACGGCGGCGCCGGAACCACCAAGGGACCGTCCGTCGCGGTGGCGGCCAAGGGCAACGCGAAGGCCGCCTCTGCCAAGTCGATTCCCCGTAAGTCCCCAGCGGCTACCCCCGCGCCGGCCGGCAAGTCAGGCGCCAACAACGATGGGCCGGCCATTGCGGCCCCTCCGGCAAAGTATACCTCAGCGGACGAAAACTGCCGCCCAGCAGCACCAACTGCCGACAAGGGCGACGCGACGGCTGCTGCGGCTAAGCCCGAAGGTCCGTCACCTGCTAAGGTGCCCGCCGGCAGTAACACGCTCAGGGAGATGCTCCGCCGCATGGATGCGGATCGCAGGGACGTGCAGCAGCCTCCAGTGGTCGACGCCGCCCTTGCCGAAACAGCACGTCGCTCAGGCACTTCGCAGGTTGTCGGCAAATCGACCGGTGCCCCACCTGCCGTGCCTCAAGTCGCCGCCCCACCGCCCGCGGAACCCAAATCCGCGTTTCTTCGCGCCCATTTAGGCGCACGCAAAGCGGGAGCTCGACAAGTGACTCAGCCGGAACCCGGCAAAAGCGCGACGCCGACGTCGGTAAACGCGACTTCACCCACACCAGGTGCAGCTGTGGTCGCTCGACAAGTGACTCAGCCGGAACCCGGCAAAAGCGCGACGCCGACGTCGGTAAACGCGACTTCACCCACACCAGGTGCAGCTGTGGTCGATGCTGCGGCGGAGAAGTGTGTGAGCGCGGCGCTAGCCACCGGCGGCCGGCCCGACAGGCATGCCAACCTCGCTGCCGTTCTGGCTCAATTTGAAGCAGCAAACGGCCCGAGCATGCCCCAGCACTGGCCATCATGGACACGGCACATGCGGAACCGTCGGGGACCCATGGTGGGGGTTCGGCAAAGCCGACGGCTGCAACGGCTGCTGTCGCCGAGGGAAATGCGGGACGGAAGGGGAAGGACGACAACGGGAAAGGGAAGGCGGTCTCGCAGAAGAGCACGCGGGCGATGTCGGCGGGGAATGAGATGTCGGAAGAGAAAGGGAAGAAGCCGACACGGAATCAGGACAAGACGGGCGGCAAACATAAGCCGGCGAAGAGGAAGGCGAAGGCGGAAGAGGAGGAGGAGGAGGAGGAGGAGGAGGAGGAGGAGGAGGAGGAGGAGGAGGAGGAGGAGGAGGAGGAGGAGGGGGAGGAGGAGGAAGGGCATGGACGCCGGGGTCATGGCATCCGCCGAGACAGGTCTGACGACGGGCTTGGGTGGGTGGGCGAGATCAAGACTAAGGGCCAGAATCGGTACATCGGCAAGTCGTGCGCTAAGATGGAGCTGGCCTACGAGCACGCGATTGCGTACTTGCTCTACGACGGCTACGTGAGCAAGGTGCTGACGAAGGAGCTCACCGTCTTGAAGCCGGGGCAGTTGGATGAATGGAAGGCGGTATGGGAGGAGCTCAGGTTCCTGTCGACCGGGATGTGGACGGTGATGTGGGCCAGAGGCTTGTGCCATCCGAGAGCAAGGTAAGTCGGATACCGACGTGCCGAGTTCTGTCGACCAAGTCGGTGTCAAGATCGCTGATGTCGACCAAGTCGTGCTGTTTTAATGTTTTTGCGCGGCAGGTTCGACGATATACTCGGCAGGTACCGTGGGTACGCGAGCTCGGGTGATGCGCTTCATGACGTGCTCTGGCCGGCGATATGGTTCCCCATCATCGAAGACACGGAGGCAGGCAAGGCGGAGACAACCGCTCTCTTGTCGGCGATGGTAAATCGCGTGTCGATGTGCGCGGCGTATGGGAAGGTTGCGGCGAGCGTGGCGTTTGGGAAGGTCGACGCGAGCGCGGAGGGGAAGGCGGGTGAGAACGCGGAGATGGAAGGCGCGGAGGGTAAGGCGGACGAGAAGACGGAGATGGGGGCCCAGGCGTTAGCGGCATCTGCATGCGCCCTCTGGTGCTACATGTCGACGGGTGCGTCGGTGCTCGGTGCTGTGGGCGAAGGGAAGGCGGCCGCGATGGTGGCAGGTGCAGGGGAGGAGAGGGCCGAGCGCTTCAAGAAGGTCATGCACTTGGTTTTCGACTTTGCAAAAAGTCGGAAGGCTCCCGCGGGGGAGGTTGCACATAACGTCGCGCCAGAGCTGCAGCGCTATGGAGTGGCCAGGGCCTTCGAGGCGGGAATTGAGGAAGTCGAGGCCGACATGATCGCAAGAGCGACGGTCGAGACCTTGGCGTTCTGGGGAATGTGCCCCGTCGCCGGGCCCAAGCTCAAAGCGGAGGGCATCGATGTGCCGTGTGACGCGAAGATGGAGTACGATCTGGAGCACAGGGGGAGGAAGGGTGAGAAGGTCAAGCAGGGCAAGGGCAGCAAGAGGAAGAAGACGAAGGCGGAGAAGCAGGCGAAGGACAGTACGGATGCGTAGTCGGCGGACGGATGTGTCCTAGGTTGCTAGGGTGTGTACTATGTCGGTATGGCCGGTGCCGATTTCGGCGCAGATTTGATAAATGTTTTCTTTCGTAACAAGGATCGTATTTGATACAGTTCTGTTTGCTTCACTTTGGGTTGAACAAATCGGTGTCCACATAGAAACATGCTGACCGAATATCACCTGATGGGCCATGTCGGCGCATATGTCGACATGATATGCACATGCTAGTCGGCGAGGACCGTTGACATGATAGAAACATGGTTCTCGGCGGTGAGCTTTGTCGGCAAAAGGTCGACATCGAGTTTTGCGACACCTATCGTACTGGTCGTCAGCGACAACATACACCGACAAGTAGGGTTCGCAAGGATCTCGATGTGGGTTGTTTACAAACTACCAGAAACAGTATTCGAAGGGGAAGGGGGGGGGGGGGGGGGGGGGGGGGGGCTTTGTAAGTCTGCCAAAATCAACAGCATCAAACTACGCAGACACATATCCTAGGAGGGACTTCATGCTGACTTCTTGCGCTTGGTCGGAGGACGCTGCACGGGTGCGGTCGGCTTGGCCAGTGCTGTCGACTTGGCCGGTGCGGTCGGCTTCGCCAGGTCGGCCTTGGTCTTCGGCATCTGCTCCTCCCAGGTGTCTGGAAACAGACGGATGAGCCAATCTCTCGGCTTCAGGTTGAGCGCCACAAGCGCACAGGCGAGGCGAAGCTTCGAGACCACCTTGGGGCCCAGCCCCTTGACTCCCATGCCAGGCTCTTTGGACTTCATCGGTGCCGTTTTCGGGTTGAGGGCGTCACAGAAGGTCCCAATGCCCGGTGCCGCGATCCTGTTCAGTGCGTCGACCACGGCCTCGGTGTCGGCGTCGCCGTCGCTCGCGCGTAGCTGGCGCACCGCATCCATGGCCTTCATCATGCGGCGCACCTTCATGTCGAGCCCACCCTGCGTCGCGCCCTTTCCTGTGAGGAGGGTGTGGCGGGCGACGAATCCCTTCTCGGCGACCCTGTCGCAAAGGCGACGGGTGTCATTGGCGGTGGCGGAGTTCCATAGGCGCCAAGCGTCCCTCACAGTCTTTGCCTCCCGCCACGGTTGCACCACGTTGAGCTCGTAACTAGCCTCCTCGTCCGTCTGTGGGGGTGGCGGGGGTTTGTCATCCCCTCTCTTGGCTCCAGCCCCCGTGCTGGCCGAATCCGCCGAGCCACCCTCGCTGGGAGCTTGCACGGGCGCCGACGGCGGGGCCTCAGGCACTCTCCGTGCTTCCGACAAGCTGAGTGCCTCGGTGAGACGGGCTACCTCGGCGGTGAGTCCCGCGATGGTGTCGTCGCGCTTCTCGATCTCCTCTAGGAGATCAATCTTCTCGTTCGCGGCGCGCTCCCTTTCCGACTGCAGCTGGGCCTTGAGGGACATGTTGTAGTACTCGGTGTCCATGCGGACCGAGATTTCCTGCAGCGGTAGGAGAAAGACGTTAGGGCCGCGGTGGTTTGGTTAACACTACATACTGCCCTTCGGCGACAGTATCGTCGACTTACCTCTGGCTGTATTTGGGTCGGGTCGCGACGCTTGTTGATCGTCTCGGTGTCGACGCTCTCCACCCGTTTCGCCCAGTGCTGGAAGAGGGGGATCCGGCAGAGCTTGGAACCTTGGACGTACGGGTGCCATGGTGTGCGGACCAGCTTCACCGCTAGGTCCTCGGCGACGATGCGGCGCAGCATCTGGAGTGTGCGCCAGAAGTGCACCGCGGCTTTGTCGGCGTCGGACCCCTCGACAGCTTCCCTTCTGCCTACAATTCGTCACGTGTATTAGGTGTTCAGATACGGTCGGCAAGACGACTCGAAGATAGGGCTACGAGGGCGTCGACTTGTCAAACATTGCATGTTTATATTGTCTAGGCTGTAGTGGGTTACACCTTAGGGGGTACACAAAGTTAGGGTTTACTACTTGTACCAAACTCTGTTCTAGTTCATTCATTCCTGCTCAGTTATTTCTGACATGGTTTCAGAGCAGGTCCTTCGCTAGGACTGTTCTTAGGGCCCACCGACTTACCTACCTGCTTACCTTCGCTTGTTTCCGGCCCCGCTGGCCCCGTCGATCTAGCAAGATCTAGCGGCCCTGCGGCCCCGTCGAAATTTTTTTTTTAGCGGCCTCTCACGGCCCCCGTCGCGTCGCCCCTTAGCGCCCCGATCGGCCCCGTCACGCCGCCCGCGAACCGCACAGCGCGCCGCGCTCACAGCCCGCGAACCGCCCGCGCACAGCCCGCGACCCGCCTGCGCAGCCCGCGACCAGCCCGCGCAGCCCGCGCACAGCCCGCGAACTGCCCGCGAGCAGCCCGCGACCTGCCCGCGAACCCCCGCGAGCCGCCCGCGACCCGCTTACGCAGCCCGCGAGCAGCCCGCGCAGCCCGCGCTGAGCCTGCGCGGCTCGTGCGCTGACCGCCGCCGGCCCGCACGCTGCCCGCACTGCTCCCTGCCCGCCGCTGCTGAGCCCGCAGCCGCCCGCGCACCGCCGCTGCTGAGCCCGCCACCGCCCGCGCACCGCCGCTGCTGAGCTCGCCGCCGCCCGCGCACCGCCGCTGCTGCGCCCGCTGCCGCCCGCGTATCACCGCTGCTGAGCCCGCCCCTGCTGCGCCGGCTCTCGCTGCCGCCTGCTGCGCCTGTGCACCACTGCAGATCCTACTACTACACTTCCTGCTACTGCTGCTTGTGCGCCACTACAGTCTGTAGGCCCCACCGGCCCTGCTGACCCTGCGCACGCCTGTTCAGTGACTTTACTGCTTCTACTACTGCCGCTGTCGCTATGGCTAGTCCTCCTGTTCTAGCTTTCGACGCCGAGGGCCGTCCGGTCAAATTCGAAACCTGGCTAGATGATCTGCACCTTTTCCTACAGCTCACTGCCAAGGAAGATATTACACTGTACGACCACGCTCTCGGCCATGCGACCGCCCCACTCGCTACTGCCCCCCCAACTGAGCGCTCACAGTGGCAGACCCGTGACGCGCACGCTCGCTTTGCTATTCGCAACTCCCTGCCGCTAGATGAGCGCGAGCACTTCGGCCAGTGCAAGACTGCTAAGGACCTCTACACAGCTGTAGTGGCCCGCTACTCCTCACCCGCTTCTGCCACACTAGGCCGCCTCACTCTCCCCTACCTGTTCCCCGACCTAGCCTCTTTTCACACTGTCGCAGACCTCATCACCCACCTTAAGACTAGTGAGGCTCGCTTTCGCGCTGCCATGCCTGATGAGTTCCTCGCTAGCAACCCCCCCCCGCTCTGGATCACTCTCTACCACGTTGTCACCCGCCTCCCTGACTCTCTGCGCCCTGTCAGGGACCAGTTCCTCTCTCGCTCCCCCACTGAGCTCACCATAGCCCTCCTCGAGAAGGAACTGCTTGCAGCCGAGGCTAGTATCGTCGCTGTAGGCACCTCTCGTGGCGACCCCCGCGGCCCCTTCTTCGAGGGGTGCTCCCCTTCCCCCCTCCTCCCCTCTGTCGCCTCTGCTGCTGCTGTCGACCTCCTTGGTGCTGAGAAGGTCGGGGCTGCGTCTGCTTCAGGCGGACGACGCAGGGGCAGGAGTGGCAGGAGTGGGGGTGGTGGCGGAGGAGGCGGGGGTGGAGGTGGTGGCGGTGGAGGTGCGACTGGAGAGGCTAGTGGCGGCGGTGGTGGAGGTGACAGCGGTGTTGGGAGTGGTGACAGGGGCGGAGGTGGCAGCGGAGGCGGAGGTGGTCGTGGCAGCGGCAGGGGTGGAGGTGGCCGGGGCGGAGGCGGAGGGGTTGGTGGTCGTGGAGGCCCGGCGGGCGGTCAGAGTCAGCAGCCTGCCCCGACCCTTCAGGCCGCCCGTGAGTGGTATGCGCGGCGCAGCGTCACCTGCCAGTACGTTATTCGTACAGGTGACCGCACTGGCCAGACGTGTGGGGGGCCGCACCAGACGGAGCGCTGCTTCGCCCGCCTCAACGATGCGTGGCGCACTCAGTTTCCTGGTGGGGGTGAGCTGCCGCGCTGGGCTGATCTGCTCAGGAAGGGTGTTGATATTTGGGCACTTGACTTTGATGCTATTCTCACTGCCATGTATGCGATGTCTATTAGTGGAGAGGGTGCTCAGTACTTGCGTGTTCCGCCCGACCCGGGCATTCAGGCCAGCCCTGCTGCTGCACTAGGTGCTAGTGTGTCTGCTTCCACAGGTACTACTGCAGCTGCTGCTCTAGGTGCTTCTGCGTCTGTGCCCCCTGGTACTGAGTCGACTGCAGCACTGCACACCTTCACACTTGACTCAGGTGCTTCTCGCTCTTTCTTTCGTGACCGCACTGTCCTTGAGCCTCTAGCTCGGCCGGTTGCTGTCTCTCTTGCTGACCCCTCTGGGGGTCCGGTCCTTGCGACCTCCTCCACCACCCTTCCGTGTCCAGCGGTTCCGTCCGGCAAGCTCTCAGGTCTCTACCTCCCCTCGTTCTCCACGAACTTGGTGGCAGGTAGTGCGCTCCAGGACTCGGGTGTTCACCAGTTCACCCCTGCCTACGAGCGTGTGACTCACTGCACGTGTGCTCGGACGGGCCGCCACCTGGCTACTTTCACTCGAGAGCCGGGGTCTGACCTGTACACACTGACCACTGAGTCCCCTCAGGTAGCTGCGTCTGCGTCAGCGTCAGGTCAGCTGTCCGCCCCCTGCTCGTGTCGCTCTCTGGCGAACGACACCGTCCTCTGGCACCACCGCCTTGGTCACCCGTCTGTGCAGCGCCTGCGGGCCATGCACAAACGGGACCTTGTTGCTGGTCTTCCCAGGGTGCTCCCTCCCCTTCCTGACTCCCCTACTCCTGACTGCATTCCCTGTGTCGAGGGGCGGCAGCGCGCCGCTCCTCACTCCTCCTCCTTTCCCCCGACGACCGCTCCCCTGCAGACGCTCCACATGGACGTGTGGGGCCCAGCCCGCGTCCGTGGTCAGGGTCAGGAGAGGTACTTCCTGATAGTTGTTGACGACTACTCGCGCTACACCACGGTCTTCCCCTTGCGCGCCAAGGGTGACGTCCCTGGTGCTTTGATCCCCTGGATCAGCCGAGCCCGTCTCCAGCTAGGCGAGCGCTTTCACTCGGACTTTCCTGTCCTGCGCTTGCACTCTGACAGGGGTGGTGAGTTCGCCTCCGACCTCTTGGCAGCCTACTGTGCTGAGCACGGCATTGAGCAGTCGTACACGCTTCCGGCCTCTCCACAGCAGAATGGGGTTGCTGAGCGCCGCATTGGCTTAGTCATGGAGGTCGCTCGTACCTCCCTGACCCATGCGGCTGCTCCCCACTTTCTGTGGCCGTTTGCAGTCCGGTACGCAGCGCATCAGCTCAACCTCTGGCCCCGTGTCTCCTTGCCGGAGACTTCCCCGACTCTACGGTGGACGGGAGAGGTTGGCGATGCGTCGCGTTTCCGGGTCTGGGGATCTCGAGCTTTTGTCCGCGACACGTCCGCGGACAAGCTCTCGCGTCGCGCTGTTCCCTGTGTCTTTCTTGGCTTTGTTCCCGACGCGCCTGGATGGCAGTTTTACCACGTCACCTCGCGCCGGGTTCTGGCCTCTCAGGACGTCACTTTTGACGAGTCCGTCCCCTTCTACCGCCTCTTCCCCTACCGCACTGCCCCGCTCCCCCCCCCGCCTCTCTTCCTCGCTCCAGGTGCTGAGGTACCAGACCCCCTCCCCCCTCAGGGTGCCGCTCCCTCAGGTGTGTCCCAGGTAGACCCGAGTGAGCCTGTCGAGGTAGCTGTTGACTCGCGTCCTGCGTCTGGGGGTGCTGAGCCTGGGAGTGCTGCGTCTGAGGGTGCGGAGCCTGGGGGTGCTGAGCCTGGGGGTGCTGAGCCTGGGGGTGCTGAGCCTGGAGGTGCGGAGCCTGGGGGTGCTGAGCCTGGAGGTGCGGAGCCTGGGGGTGCTGAGCCTGGAGGTGCGGAGCCTGGAGGTACTGAGCCTGGAGGTGCGGAGCCTGGGGGTGCTGAGCCTGGAGGTGCGGAGCCTGGAGGTGCGGAGCCTGGTGGTGCTGAGTTTGGACGTGCTGAGTCTGGGGGTGCTGAGTCTGGGGGTACTCCATCTGGAGGAGCCCTCTCCTCCCAGCAGCTGCAGGAGAGGTACCTCGAGTACTGCCGCCTCCGGAGAGGTGCTTCTGGAGCTCGTCCCGGTACTTCCCCTCCTACCCAGGAGCTCCCCCCCATTCAGGTGATCCGCGAGTGGTACACGCGGCGCTGCAGTCTTCGTAGTGGTACTCCTGGTGCTGCGGACCCGAGCGGTGGTGCTGTTGCTGGTGCTGAGGACCCGGATACTGGAGCTGCGGCTGGTGCTGAGGACCCGGGCGTTGGAGCTGCTGCTGGTGCTGAGGACCCGACCGGTGGCGCGGCTGCTGGTGCTGAGGACCTGACCAGTGCCCCTGCTGCTGGTGCTGGGGACTCGGACGTTGGGGCTGCCACTGGTGTCCCTGCTGCTTCTGGAGACGCTGCGCGGCCGCGACCGTACTTCGTACCGCTCCTTCAGCAGGTTCTTGGTCAGGCTCCTCCTCCTTGTCCTCCTTCCTCCGTCGAGTGTCCTCTGCCTGTCCAGCCGCAGTCACAGTTACCGCCTGTCTCGCCTCTCCCTGCTCCCTCCCCTTACGCTGGTCCCACAGGAGGTCTTACAGAGCGTCGTGAGCCTGAGTCTCGTCCTGCGTCGCCTGTTCGTACTGCTCGCACTGGTCGTCGTGTCCCACGTGAGCGTCCTCCTCCTGTCCCTGGCACTCACTACATGACTCTGCGTCCCTCCACTGCTCCGCAGCGTGTCCCGCTGCCGTCTCCTCCTGCGTCCTCTCTTCCTACTCTTCCTGACCCGGAGTCTGACTCCCGTCGTGCTGCCAGTCCCACTGTTACGCGTCTCCTCGCTACAGTTGTCACTGACCCGACCTTTGAGTCCTCTGCTGCGTCTGCTCTGGTCGCTGAGTTGGTTGACTTTGCTGCTCGCTGTCGCCTAGACTACGCTGCCAGCCTTGTCGCTAGGTCTGAGTCTGCGTCTGCCTGTCCTCCGTCCGTCGGGGGTGAGTGTGCCCTCGGCACGGACGTCCTTGAGGACAGACAGGAGGAGTTCCACTGCCTTACTGCTGCTTTGCCCCGTCTCGTGTCCTTGCTAGTTGCCCCTGAGGGAGACCCGGATGCACCAGACATCCCGACCCCACGCTCTTACGCTGAGGCGATAGCGGGTCCCTACTCCTCTCAGTGGCAGACAGCCATGGACGCAGAGATGGCCTCCTGGAAGTCCACAGGCACCTACGTAGACGAGGTTCCCCCTCCTGGGGCGAACATCGTCAGTGGCATGTGGATTTTCAGGGTGAAGCGGCCGCCGGGTTCTCCACCTGTCTTCAAGGCGCGCTACGTGGCTCGAGGCTTCAGTCAGCGAGAGGGAGTAGACTTCTTTCAGACCTTCTCCCCCACCCCGAAGATGACTACTCTTCGGGTGCTGCTGCACATAGCCGCTCACCGCGACTACGAGCTTCACTCTCTTGACTTCAGCACTGCTTTCTTGCAGGGCAGCCTGCACGAGGAGATCTGGCTGCGCCGCCCCCCTGGCTTCACTGGGTCATTTCCTCCTGGCACCCAGTGGAGGCTTCAGCGGCCGGTCTACGGTCTCCGCCAGGCGCCACGTGAGTGGCACGACACACTGAGGACGACACTTGCGGCTCTTGGGTTCGCTCCCTCTACTGCTGACCCGTCGCTGTTTCTACGCACCGACACCTCGCTGCCGCCGTTCTACATCCTCGTGTACGTCGACGACTTGGTCTTTGCCACTGCTGACACCGCGGCACTCGCTCACGTGAAGTCGGAGCTGCAGAGGAGACACACGTGCACAGACCTGGGTGAGCTGACGAGCTATCTTGGCTTGCGGATCACCCGGGACAGAGCGCGGCGCACCATCACCCTGACTCAGTCACACATGGTGCAGCAGGTTCTCCAGCGCTTCCGCTTCACGTACTCCTCGCCTCAGTCCACTCCTCTGCCTACCGGTCACTCGCTCTCAGCTCTGCCTTCGGATGAGTCCGTAGAGCCGAGTGGCCCGTATCCAGAGCTTGTGGGCTGCCTCATGTACCTGATGACCTGCACTCGACCTGACCTTGCATACCCTCTTAGCATCCTAGCACGCTATGTCGCTCCTGGCCGTCACCGGAAGGAGCACATGGATGCTGCTAAGAGGGTGTTGCGCTACTTGTGCAGTACGTCGGGCATGGGGCTTGTGCTTGGAGGGCGAGACCGGGTTGTTCTCACAGGGCACTCAGACGCTTCTTGGGCAGACGACCAGGCTACTCAGCGGTCGTCCCAGGGTTACACCTTCAGCCTTGGCTCTGGCTCAGTTTCTTGGCGTTCTACTCGCTCTTCTTCTGTTCTCAGCTCCAGTTGTGAGGCTGAGATCTACGCCACAGCCATGGCTGCTCAGGAGCTACGCTGGCTGACCTACCTGCTGACCGACCTCGGAGAGCGGCCTCGTTCTCCTCCAGTGCTGTACGTTGACAACAAGGCTGCCATTGCCTTGTGTGAGGAGCACAGACTGGAGCACAGAACGAAGCACATCGCTCTGCGGTACTTCCTTGCTCGAGAGCTGCAGCAGCGTGGTCAGCTTTGTCTGCGTTACGTGGCCACGGAGGCCAACACTGCTGATGTGTTCACCAAGGCGCTTCAGCCTTGTGACCATCAGCGCTTTTGCACTCTACTAGGCCTTGTACCTACTGGGCCTCACTTGCTTACCTCTTGACCTTGCTTGTACTGTGATCACTATATATATATGCCTACTTGTTTACTTTTGCTAGGTTGTGATCACTGTATCTCTTGCTTTGTTATAAACCTGCATGTGAACTGGTCTTGAGACCACTTGCTTGTGCTCGGAATTTGTGTGGAATCCTTGAGATCCACCCTGAGCTTGCTTTACTTTGCTTTGACTGGTCTTGTGACCCTGTGGTTGTCTCCCACTGCGCCTATGGGGGTGTGTCAAACATTGCATGTTTATATTGTCTAGGCTGTAGTGGGTTACACCTTAGGGGGTACACAAAGTTAGGGTTTACTACTTGTACCAAACTCTGTTCTAGTTCATTCATTCCTGCTCAGTTATTTCTGACACGACTAACTTACCGTCTTCAGCATGTCGTCGACGCCGGGGAATAGGTGCTTGGCGAGGAGTTTCAGGAGCTTGTCGGTGGGTTCCACCCTGCTCCGCCCCAAGAAGTAGTCCTGCTTGTAACCAGAGTACCCGGCCTTCTTCATCACCACCCCCACCGGAATGGCGGTGATGTACGCCCGCGTCATCTTGTCGAGCGCCCAGTGACCCAGCTCCGCGATCTCGGCGCGCGGCGTGCCGTCGATGGCCAGCTCCTGGGCCCCTCCCGCTCGAGCGGCGTACACGTTCCTCTTGCAGAACACTTTGTTGGTGTCCCACAACTGCCGCGTCCAGCGTTGGTGGCTTGCCGCAGAGAGCTCCCCTTGGTCGGTGTCGTTTTTGGCGAAGAAAAGGTGCTTCTTGTACCAGCTCGCGCGTGTGCTGGTGTCGACCGGCGGAATGAGGCGGACGCCGTGAAACTGGCCGATCTGGTCGAGGACGAAGTGCAACCACAGGCCCGTCTCGCCGACGGCGCACAACTCCGCTTCGAGGTGCCGCGCCGCGTAGCTCTGCTGAAAACGAGCATCCTTGGACGTCTTCGAGTTCCGCGCAGCGATGACCATTACGACCGGCTGGTTCTCCGGGTTCACCGACGAGGTGCTCGCCAGTCGGTACAAGAAGATGTCGGGGAGCGTGATCTCGCGGATGCTTGCACCGCGCAGGAGGCTGTGGTGGGAGAGAAGCGTGAGCACCTTGATGATCAGAAACCCCCACAGTGTCTGCGAAGGACTCGTTCCACGCGGGTTCCACGCCTTCGCCGCCCACGTCGGCAGCACCCTCATCATGATTTGCCGAAACTGTTCGGCGGTGTAGGTATCGCCGAGGGTTCCTCGACGCCGATCGGCGCAATTCCTGCCCACAAAGCCAAGGGTAAGGGTCATTCAGGGCGGCGTCGACATCATAGTGTGGGCGACATAGATTGAACCTGCACTTACTTGATGTCCCGCTCGTTCTTGGTGCGGATCATGAACCGCACCTCCGACCTGACCACCGATATCTCCCGCATGATGCTCAGCTCCGTCTCCCGGTAGAGCGTCGCCTCCACTCTCGCCGCCATCTGGCATGCCTTTATGCGCTCGAGGAGCGTGTGCACCGTTGTGGAGTGCACAGGCTGGGCTCGCGCGGCGTTGTCCCCCTCCTCGGTGGACTCGGCATCGAGCTTACACTCACGCACCATGTACTTCACGTACGCGCGAAGCCGGGTGATGGTAACCCTTGGGCCGTGCAGCCACACGTACGCCCGGGGGACATCGGCCTCCTGGTCCCAATTCTTCTTCTTGTTGTCCCGGATGTAGTGGCCTATCTCGTCGACGTGCTTAAGCCTGTGCTCCTGGGGAAGTTTGCCGCCTATCTGCCTCAACATCTTCGCCGCCCACGTGTACTGCCTCAGCGTGCTGTTCTTCTCCAGGGTTTGCAGGTGGCGTAGTGCGTCCATGACGAGCACGTCGATGCACGCGTACACCATGTCTTCCTCGACGAAGTCTGCCGCCTTCCACTGTTCGCGCGGCACCGACATGTTCTCCTGGTCCGCGTCCTCGTCCTCTTCGAGCAGTTCATCTATGAATTCAAGCTCCCGCCTGAGTCGTTCGTCCAAGGTGCGCGGATTAGTGCTACGGTGTGGACGCTCGTCGTATTCATCATCGCTTTCCTCCTCCTCCTCCTCCTCCTCCTCATCCTCCTCCTCCTCGGCATCAACTTGGTCTCCAGAGCCGGCATGTGCCGACGACGTTCCTGGCTGTCCATTTCGTGCAGGCTGCTGTTTTTTTTTCTTGTTGAACTCCCCGATCGGCGGTGGGGGAATGTCCTTGGTGAACTCTCCTTCCGGAATCTGCGTTAGCTTGTCAAGATCGTAGAGTAACGGGAGCGTCTCTTCGTCGGTGGATGTAGGATTGTGGTCGATGGGGGGACTAGCGTCGGGCATGTCGACGTCGGCCATGTCGGCCATGATTGCGCTATCGTCGTCCGTGTGCGATGCGGAGGTTGTTAAACCAGAGACGGAACTGTGTCACGGAAGCGAAATAACGGTCTTCTTCGAATTCTCGCTCAATCGCGTCTAACTCGGCTTCGACCTCAAGACGTTCCAGCTCCGCTTTGATGTCGTCGTCTACTGAGTCGGCGGGGGGTGGGATGGATTGGGGCTGTTGGGCTCTAGGGCGACCTCTGGCCATGCGTCGCCGACTTGCTAGGTCGGCCAAGATGTCGATAGTTTGCGGCGATGTTGCCCTGGCACGTCCGATGTCGACGTCGACAAGTACTGACCTCTCGTTTTCCTAAACACCGACCTGATTGTTAGCGACCACGTAGAAGCAACCTGTGCCGACGGGATCGATTAGTCGGCAGCCGACAAGCCTACAATCGCGAAGAAAGATAGGCAGCGGAGAGCAGGAAGGAAAGCAGGAACTGACAAGGGAATGAGCACAATCGGAGGGTCACAAAGGAGTACGGTCCCGAGCGTCTCCGAAGCGGCCGCGCTTCACGCAACCCCCCATGCTGCTGCCGCTATGCATGCGTTCTCCTGCGGCGGCGCAGTGTCCGACGTGTCACGTGCCAAGCATGACTCCTGGGACGCCGCGCCGCACCCAAGGGGCGTAAGCCTGGGCCATTCCACGAGGGAATGGGCGTGTGTGACGTGGCGTGGGCCCGACATTGGCGTCTTAGAGCGGAAATAACGGCATGCCGACTTCCATCTCCCAGGGGCCCTGGATTACTGCGGGGCCGCGTGGCAACCCTACCGCGATCGCCTGGTGATCGGCGCCGACTACCCGTCGGCGCGCTTATTTGTGTAGTTAGGTTCATTGAACGTGGACACTGTTGTGACTGTGCCGCGTGGCTCGGTTGTGGACCGTTGGATGACTTGGTCGACACCGACCAAACTTGACGGTCCGATCTGCGCCGCGTGGATCGAGCACCGACAATTTTGGCGGGAGCGTCGACTTCCCTCGCGAAAGACTCACCGCCGGAGCGACGCGTGGCCACGACGTGAGCGTCGTGGCAGTCTTGTCATCGTGGGGGACCTCCTGGCTCGTCCCTATTGGGCCGCGTGGCAGCAGTCGCGGCTCGACGTGGCGAGCTTTCTTATTTTGTCCGCTGAGATTTCCTTCTCAGGTATCTCCCAGCGGAAACGTAGGTCGTCGGATCGTCGACAATCCCGAGGGCTCCCGTGGCCCCTGGGACGCCAGTTCGGCCCAGTTTGCCGCTCGGAAGTCGTCGGGAGGTCGTCAATCCCTTGGGGGCCCTTTGTCCTATCGAAACCACGAATCTGGGCGGCAGTTTTCGTCCGCTGAGGTATATTATCCCAGAAATCTCTTCCAAAAAAGATCCCTGCCGTATGGGACAGCCATGTGTCAACCACCCTGTCATAAGCGACAAATTTCCGTCAATCACCCTGCCGTATGCGACAGCAAAAGGAACAGAGGTCGTCACAAAATATCTGCTGCACAATCAAGGCGGAGAGTCCTTGGAAACACTAACGGGTAATACGAAATCGAGTACTGGCAGAAGAATTCGTTACATCTTATTGGACATAATGTTAGGTCGTATTCGTAACCCGTGTTAGACATGAGGTTTGATACGAAGTGGGGTTCAAAAGACCCAAAGTGGCTCGTTTGTTGGGCGATTGGAAGTTCGGAAGAGACAAAATTTTGTCTAAGGGCTCATGACTTGATGTCTGGACACGCGATACGAATGCACCCTTACTAATACAGGTCATTCCAGATAAAGAATCATTTTGTGCTGAAACATGAACTACTGGCACGAGCGTAGTGCTGAATCAGCAATGGGACTGTAAACAGGGCTCCTATGCCAGCTACCACAGAGCCATATCTACCAATCGCTAGACGCATCCATGCATTCATATGCTGGCGTTCCTGATAAAACCAATGACACAGATAGGGAAGAGGGAAGATGGTCCAAGGTTGGGAGGTTGACAAGAGAAGGTTGAGAAAAAGCAAAAGCAACATACACTGAGATGAACATGGCTCATGGTACACATGGCACATGGTACACATGGCACATGGTACACATGGCACATAGTACACGGTACACGTGGCAGATGGTACACATGACACATGGTACACATGGCACATGGTACACGTGGCACATGGTACACGTGGCACATGGTACACATGGCACATGGTACACATGGCACATGGTACACGTGGCACATGGTACACGTGGCACATGGTACACGTGGCACATGGTACATGGTACATTCTTAGTGCATGTGATGCTACCTGATTCTTTGCTCGGAAGGCTGAAAGGGTCTCTGGAAGCAGAGTGATTGTGCTGCGATGAGCCTCAAACGGCAACCTGAGGGGGAAAGATGAGACAGGCAAAACCCAATCCGCTCAAAGAAAGAATCCAATCCATTCAGAGGGAGAATCCAATCTATGCACTTGTACATTTCTCAAACAGAAGCGGGCAGCACGGCATGACAAAGGAAAGGTTAGGGGTAGACAGGTAGGCGTATGACTGAGGCATGAAAAGGCACAAACCGGCACCTCACAGGCTTGTAATGAAGTTCATGTAGCCACCAACATTTGTAGAGTATTTTTGAGAATTCTAAAAAATACTCTATAGCGGCACCCTCACAGGCTTGTTATAAAGTTCATGTAGCCACCAACATTTGGGCTAATGCCTACCTCCATCCTAGTTCATATCCACATGAACCTTGGAAGGGACAACTGGGTTTTTACCCACCTGAGGCCTGATAGCTGTTGCATGACAGCCTCTCTGACAAGCGAGCGCCCCCTGCTTATAGTCACAGTCACACACGTGCAAAAGGCGGATAGGCATACAGTCACACAGGCATACAGTCACAAATGCATACAGTCACACACAGGCATACAGTCACAAGGGGGAACGGTGATAATAACCAGCCCTTGTCCCTGCACAGAGGGAATGGGCCTTGCCATGCAGTGCACGGGGAGACACTGTGACACTGCCCCTTTGCAACTCGAGAGTGACAGGGATACGAAAAAGGCAAGCACGGACCTGCCAGCCCCGGTGATAATAATTAGCCCTTTTCCCTGCACAGAGGGAGCGCCACCACCACTCTGAGCCACTGCTGCTCCTGTGGCTGCTGCCTCTGATGCTGCTGCTGCCTCTGATGCTGCTGCTGCTGTCAGGGCGGATCGATGCACCAACACTGGCTGCTTCTGAGGTGATTCAAGTGCCGTGAAACGAGTTAGAGAGGATAACCGTACGCCTTCACTCTCTCCAGCTGGTGGGGCCACCGAGGGAGATGCCCAACGAGTGTGTGACAGCGACAATTGTTTAGAGCTGGACGTCTCAAAGAGACGTACGTCATCGCTCTTCCCTGCTGCTGGGGCCACCGAGGGAGATGCTGATGTGTTAGTCGACTCAGACACCGAGGGAGATGCCCAACGAGTGTGTGAAGAAGTGGGCGAGTGAGGGCGCGAGTGCAGGTGCGGGTGAGGGAGTGAGGGAGGGAGTGAGGGAGAGATTGAGGGAGAGATTGAGGGAGGGAGGAGGGCAGCCATGAGTTGGAGTCTACTCTGCATGGCGGACAAGCCATGCAAATCCACAGTCACCATCCCTGTGTCCTCACTTCCCAACCCCATGCCATCGCCCCCCTTCCCCATTCCCTCACTCGCCTCCCATACCCACTCCTTCATGCCCCCACTCCCCTCCCATGTCCTCTCCCCCATGCTCTTGCCCTGCCACGCTCTCCCTCTCACTCCCAACTCGCCCCTCCCTCCACCTCCTCCTCCTCTTCCCCGCTCACCCCCCATCTCGCCTGCCCCGTATCTCGACACGTCAATGCCCCAACCGCCCTTAACCCCCAATCCAGCAGTCCCCAAAGCTCCCTGTGCTGGTGCTGCCGTGGCTGCTGCCTCCCCGAACCACTGCCGCAGCCACGGGCCGAGCCTAGAAAACAGGCCCGGTTCAGTGGCAGCAGAGGTGGCCGGGGGAAGCGGGGGAGGGCTTGTAGGAGCGGAGCGAGGTGAGGGAGGGGGTGTTGCGGGCGGGCTTGGAATGGTGGCCGCTTTTTGAGGTGCCTCAAAACTCATCTCATCCCGATACGTCGGAGGAGAGGGAGGGGGTGCTGCGGGCGGGCTTGGAATGGTGGTGCGGGGAGAGACAAGGGATGGGCAAAATTGGAAATTCATACTGTTTTGTTGAGGAGTTCTGTTCGTGCTCAGAAAGGGTGAGGTGGGATGGGAGTGGGAGGACGGGGATGAGCTTGGGAGTGTGGTAGAGGGAAGGGAGGGGTGAGGGTCCTGGTCTTGCTTCTGGCTGCTGACTGCTTCAATGACTGACTCACTGGTGGTGAGAGGTGACTGTAGAGAAGGGTCTGACTGTAATGAGTGTGACTGTACAGAGGTGGAAGGTGACTGTACAGAGGTGGAAGGTGACTGTACAGAGGTGGGAGCACCAGCAGCACGAGGATACGGTTGATGCTGCTGTCGATGATGTTGAAATTTTTTCTTTACTGAAGATTGCTGCATGAGGCCAAGAAGCTGATCTGTCTGCGTCTGATTGGCTGGGTGACGTGGAGGAAGGTCAGTGGGCGCCAGGGATGCGAGCAAATCGAGGGGCAGCGAGGGGGCCAGGCGGAAGGCGGCTGTGAGGGAGGAAACGGAGGCCTGTGGAGGGGTAATGGGGGGACGGGGAGAGGAAGTCGAGAGGGGTTGATGGGAAGAATAAAATCAGATGTTCCCTTCCCTCAACACTCATGATGCCCTCCTGGACGCACAAACATCACCATTCACGTAATCCCCCCTAACCTTTCAACACCACCCATCCACCCAACCATCCACCCACCCACTCACCCACCCACTCACTCACTCACCCACCCACTCACCCACTCACCTGCCCACCCACCCTTCCCCCCATGGCGATCCGCTCATACCTCTGAGGGAGTGATGCCTGAACCAATCATCTGCCGCCACGTGTCCACTGCAGCATCCGCATCCGCCGCCCGAGCGCAAGCATCCAGCAACGTGTTGAACGTGACTATATCAGGCGTGACAGTATCAGGAGCGACATTCTTGGGAGCGACATCACCAGAAGTGATAGTACAAAGAGCTACAGCATCAGAGGTGCTCTTTGGCACACGGGCGGCATTGCCCTGTCTAGATGTGCTCCGAACAGCATTACTAGACGTGGGTGGCGATTCTTGTCTCGACATCGAGGCGATGAGCTGGCGCATGCGATGGATGGTTTCAGAGGGGCTGAGCCGGGGTGGCATGGATGGGGATGGGGATGCAACTTGCTCCTCTGTATGATCGCTGTCCCTCCCAGCATCGCCATGCCCATCACCATGGCCATGCACCACCGGTGTGATGGTCTTGGCGTAGGCATTGAGAACAATGTTGTAGCTCCGCTGCACGAGGGTGGAATGGATGGAGCATGCGCAAGGGCGGAGAAAGCACACGGGGGGACGAGCATATGGGTGGACTTTTGAGTCGACTCACAAATCAGCATATGGGTGGACTTTTGAGTCGACTCACAAATCAGCATATGGGTGGACTTTTGAGTCGACTCACAAATCAGCATATGGGTGGACTTTTGAGTCGACTCACAAATCAGCATATGGGTGGACTTTTGAGTCGACTCACAAATCAGCATATGGGTGGACTTTTGAGTCGACTCACAAATCAGCATATGGGTGGACTTTTGAGTCGACTCACAAATCAGCATATGGGTGGACTTTTGAGTCGACTCACAAATCAGCATATGGGTGGACTTTTGAGTCGACTCACAAATCAGCATATGGGTGGATGGAGTGGATCAAACATTCGGCATTCGGCTTGGAAGGAAAATGGCATTCGGCTTGGAAGGAAAATGGCATTCGGCTTGGAAGGAAAATGGCATTCGGCTTGGAAGGAAAATGGCATTCGGCTTGGAAGGAAAATGGCATTCGGCTTGGAAGGAAAATGGCATTCGGCTTGGAAGGAAAATGGCATTCGGCTTGGAAGGAAAATGCCGGCACCAAGTTGATACGATGACGCTGGTGCTATGATGACGCTGGTGCTACGATGACGCTGGTGCTATGATGACGCTGGTGCTATGATGACGCTGGTGCTATGATGACGCTGGTGCTATGATGACGCTGGTGCTATGATGACGACACTGCTGGCTTTCACTGCTGGCTTTCACTCCTGGCCAGCGCCAGCAGTGCTGGCCATCCATTGTGATGGCCATCCATTGTGATGGAGCAGAGCATTGAAACAAAATCAAGGCAGCAGCACACACCAATTGTGGCTGATCAGCAGCAGAAGCAATCGTCAGCAGGACTCACGAGGTTGGGCGGGCAGCGCGAGTGCAGCATGCGTGACAGCACCCCTTCAGACCGCACTGCATCCCCGCTTCTGCTCCACGCATCAGCCAGCGCATTCCACACCACCACGTCATTGAACCCGCTGCTGACAGCATCAACTGCAGCCCCTGCATCAGACAACACCTTCCCCAGCTCCACCTGTCCCCCAACCCCAGGCACCCCCAGCGCCTCTCCCCCAACCCTCGCCTCCCCCAGCACCGCCTCCCCCGCTACCGTTCTTTCCCCCACCATACTCCCCCCTGCTGTATTCCCCCCCACCGTACTCCCCCCCAGCGCCACCCCTGCCATCACCCTCTCCGCGTCATCCGCCCTGCCCGCCCGCCCGCACACTGCAATCATTGCAGAGGCGGCATATTTGTCTGCTTGCAGGCCGTGGGCGCGCATCTCCTGCCACAGCTCCCGCGCGCGCGCCAGCTGTCGCAACGCTACTCGCTGCCTCCCTTCCGCTTCCCCTTCCTCTACCCCCTCTTCCCCCTCGCGTTCTCCCGCTGCGCCCCCGCCCAGACGCTTCCGCCCTTGTTCCGCCTGCGCCAGTTGAAACCTCCCCCTCCCTAGTCGGCGCCACGTGGCGCCCTTTACCAGGCACAGCTGGATTCGCGCCGCGTACATCCACGTGGCAGGCGCGCCGCCCAGCGCGTGGTATTCCGCCATGAGCGCGTCGACCTGCTCCTCCGCGCGCCTGCGCCTGCGCCCGCCCTCCGCGCGCTGGCCCTCGCGCGCCGCTTCGCGAATATGTCGCGAGAGCTCGCGAAGGCGTTCGCGAACAGGTGGGCGACGCGCCTGCGACTGCTGCGACTGCTGCTGTCGAGGATGCTGCCTATGCCCCTCATATGCGCTCATGTTAAGATACTGCTGCCGCATATGCTGCGGTTCATGCTTTGGATGGTGTTGCGGCAAATGCGCCGTCATCTGCGGATGCCGTTGATACTGCTCCAGCTGCTGCTGCTGCCGCTCCCGCTGCTCGTACTCCTGCCGGTGCCTCGGCGGCTGCTGCTCCTCTTGCGGCGGCCTTCGCGGCTGCGGGGAATTCAGGCCCGGCGGTTCTAGGTTCATTACCGGGAAAGGCGGGTACGACAAAGGGCAAGTGACACGCCTCCTGCTGCCTGTCTGGGATGTGACCTGCGGGGGTGCGTGCTGCTGATGTAAATGAAGCCTTGTGCTGTGGAAAAATAGTTTCAGATGAAAATTACAATCCTTCGAAAATGTGAGCTGTGTGAATGCAAAATTCGCTCACTGCTACTCTGTATCGAGGATAACTTTCTCCCAACCTGCATCCCCCTTCTCCCCCATCCCCTCCTCGAGGTTTGTTTCTTCCCTCGAGCTCCTCCCCCCTTCTCTCTCTTCCCCCTCTTTTCTGTTTCTCCTCGCGGGAACCTAGAAACCTGGAAATCTTGTTCCTGGTCTCAGGGCTTTAGCAGGCGCGACAATAGAGCTTTCCTTCCGCGTTTCTTAGTCCTGCATTCGCGCGTTCAAAGAAAAAGGACATTTCGAAGATCTCAAGATCTCTGCGATTTTCTTTATCAAGGTAGGTTCCGTCGACGAAACATGTGTGTTTGGAGCTGACAATCAGTCACCGACGCAACGTGAACACAACGAGCTATGGCGGCTTTGAGGGTTACAACTGCCAGAAGAAGCGTTTACCGTACTAGTATCACGTTATTGGGTGTCATGTTGCCAACAATTACTTCAATTTAGCGGATGTTTTTTGAGAATTCTCAAAAAACATTTACCGTACTAGTATCACGTTATTGGGTTATTGGGTGTCATGTTGCCAACAATTACTTCAATTTAGCGTCAGAGTTTGGATGAGCTGACACGGCTGTCAGGGTTTCAGATTTTTGCGATGCGAGGATTTCACTTTTGTATCATGCATTACTTTTCATAGAGTGCGCATCCCTTCTCTTCGTTAGGTGTCGCTAGGTCTCGTGCTCTTCGCACTTATTCCATCCTCCGGTATCTCTCGTCCATCGCCGGCAGCAGCTTTCGCGACAATTCTCGCATTGCCGTTGCCGTTACTACCTGCATTGACATTTGACATTTGCTTGTCTGAATCCTTGCGTTGTTCCCGGCAGGGCATCAACGGTCACAAACTCTAAAAACCGCGATTTGACGCCGTCACGATGTTGCTTCTGTTCGAGACCCCGGCGGGGTTCGCGCTGTTCAAGGTGCTAGACGACAAGAAGCTCGACAAGGTCGAGGACATCTGGAAGCACTTCGAGTCGCCGGAGAGCGCCAGCAAGGCAAGTGCTGCTAAGGAGTAGAGAGTGGTAACCAGGCGTGAAAAAAATTTGCGTTTTTTTAGAGACTTCGGTATAGAGGGCTTGAGGGAGAGAATAAGGTGGAAAATGCGACAAAAGTTGGGCTTTAGCGGGGGCAAGAGATTTGAGAGGAGAGCTCGGTTCCATCTGATCAAGCCCCCGTTCCCCTCTCCCCTGTCCGTCTCAACTAACATTTCCGCCAACCTTCCCTTCGCTGCAGGTGGTGAAGTTAAAGGCGTTCGACAAGTTCGAGAACACGGCGGACGCGCTGGGCGCGGCGACGGCGCTGGTGGAGAGCAAGCTGAGCAAGGGGCTGAAGAAGTTCGTCAAGGCGCAATGCCAGGGGGAGACGCTCGCCGTCGCCGACTCGAAACTGGGCAACATCATCAAGGAGAAACTGGTGGGTGCGCGCATGGGGTTGCTTGTTGGGGAGGTTGGGGGGGCTGGGATTGAGAAAGGGAATGTGATTGGTGGGGACTTTGGATTGACGAGTGGGAATGTGATTGGAAAGGGGGTTGGGATTGTAGGTGAGAGATAGTACGGCGCTGGTGGAGAGCAAGCTGAGCAAGGGGCTGAAGAAGTTCGTCAAGGCGGCAGTGCCAGGGGGAGGCGCTCGCTGTTGCGGACTCGAAACTGGGCAACATCATCAAGGAGAAACTGGTGGGTGCGCGCATGGGGTTGCCCGGTGGGGGGGGGGGGGGGGTGGGTGGGAGTGAGAAAGGGAATGTGAATGAGAAGGTGCTCGTGTAGCACCTCACGGAGTTCATCGCAGGGCGGTCAGGCGGCGACCTCGTTGTCCCTCCCTCACTCCCTTTGCCTGTGCGCCCATGCAGGGAGTGACATGCGCGCACAGCGCAGCGGTGATGGAGTTCATGCGCAGAGTGCGCAATCCAACCACGCTCCCCTGACTCTCCGGTCTCCCTCTGTCCCTGCGTGGCCTCCCCCACTCCCCCTCTGCCTGTGTGCCCATACAACAGGGAGTGACATGCGTGCACAGCGCGGCGGTAATGGAGCTCATGCGCGGGGTGCGCTCGCACCTATCGGAGCTCATCGCGGGGCTGTCAGGCGCCGACCTCGCGCCCATGAGCCTGGGGCTCAGCCACAGCCTGTCGCGCTACAAGCTCAAGTTCTCGCCCGATAAGGTAAGAGCTGCTGCACTGGTAATCGGTTGATGTGTCTGTGTACCCTCAACTCTTGTTTTCCATTTCGCCGCTCGTGGGCGTCCGCATTGCCCCACTTGCAATCCCGTTCCTCCAGATATCTCCCTCTCCCTCTTCTCCTCTCCTCGTCAGACTCACTCTAATCCACCTTCCATCAACCTCCACCAACCTGGTGCTGCCAGGTGGACACGATGATAGTGCAGGCGATCGGGCTGTTGGGCGACCTAGACAAGGAGCTGAACACGTACGCCATGCGCGTGCGCTCTTTGAGACGCCTCTAGAGCCAATCCATTTCCAACCCACCTTCCTTGTCTCGTCCCGCACCCTCACCACCACCCACACCCACCATGATCGCAGGTGGACACGATGATAGTACAGGCGATCGGGCTACTGAACGATTTAGACAAGGAGCTCAACACGTACGCCATGCGCGTGCTCCTGTTGAGACGCATCTACAGTCAATTTGATTCCCATTCCATCAACACAACCCACCCCCGCCCCACCCACAATTATCGCAGGTGGACACGATGATAGTGCAGGCCATTGGGCTGCTGGACGATCTGGACAAGGAGCTGAACACGTACGCCATGCGCGTGCGCGAGTGGTACGGCTGGCACTTCCCTGAGCTCGCTAAGATCGTCACAGACAACCTGCAGTACGCGCGTGCTGTCAAACTCATGGCGCACCGTGTCAACGCTGCCGACCTTGACTTCTCCGGGGTGAGTTTCGTCCCTTCTCCCTTCCTCTTTCCACTCCTCTCCCCCTTCCTCTCCGCACTCCTCTCCCCCTTCCTCGTCCCCCTGCTCCTTTCCGTATCGAGGCGTGTGTGTCCCTTCTGTCGGCCTCAACGCGAGTGGTACGGCTGGCACTTCCCTGACCTCGCCAAGATCGTCACAGACAACCTGCAGTACGCGCGTGCTGTCAAACTCATGGCTTACCGTGTCAACGCTGCCGACCTTGACTTCTCCGCAGTGAGCTTGTTTAATTCTCCTTCCCCCACCCCTCCCTCCTCTCCTCTTCCCCCTCCTCTCCTCTCTTCTCCTCTCCTCTCCTCCCCGTATCGAAAAGGAGTGTTTCCTTTAGCCCTCATGGCGAGTGGCATCTTTTGTCTGTGAGGTCATCACCAACAACCTCCCCCCCCCCTCTCGTGGCAGATATTGGAGGAGGATGTGGAGTCGGCTATGAAGGAGGCGGCGGTGATCTCCATGGGGTCTGCTGCTGCCATGTTTCTCCGAAACCAGGGTGCTGCATGGAATGGAACCTTGCTCACCCCTCTCCTTCCGCCTGTGCTTTCCCCCCTTCCCCCTCCCTGTGTTTCGTGGCAGATACTGGAGGAGGATGTGGAGTCGGCCATGAAGGAGGCGGCGGTGATCTTTATGGGCAGTGCTGCTCGAAACCTTGCTCACCCTGCCCATTGCCCCACCTGCTCCCCACCCCATCGCCTCAGATACTGGAGGAGGATGTGGAGTCGGCCATGAAGGAGGCGGCGGTGATCTCCATGGGGACGGAGGTCAGCGAGCACGACATGACCAACATCATTGCTCTCTGCGACCAGGTGAGTGAGGGGCTCGGTCAACGCCAGTCAACGCTGGTCAATGGCGTTTAGCTACTATGAGATCGCCACAGCAATGCTGCGACCCTCATGTCCCTCTCTTTCTCACTCTCTCTCCCTCTCTTTCTCACTCTCTCTTCCTCTCTTTCTAACTCTCTCTCCCTCTCTTTCCTCTCTCGTTGCCCTCTCGCCCATTCCCCATTGTGTCCATCTCATTAACATTTCTCCTTCCTTGTTGCCCACCTCCTACCCAAAACCCTTCCCTCCTTCCTCATCTCCCACCCAGGTCATCCCCCTCTCAGAGTACCGCGCGCAGCTGTTTGACCACCTGCAATCGCGCATGCTGGCCATAGCACCCAACGTCCTCTTTTTCGCCCCCCCATCAACTTCCACTGTCCTCATCCCCCTTGGTCCCCCCTCTTCGCCCTTCCCAGGTCATCGCCCTTTCAGAGTACCGCGCGCAGCTGTTTGACTACCTGCAGTCGCGCATGCTGGCCATAGCGCCCAACCTCCTCTTTTTCGCCCCCCCATCAACTTCCACTGTCCTCATCCCCTGTGGTTCCCCCTCTTCGCCCTTCCCAGGTCATCGCCCTCTCAGAGTACCGCGCGCAGCTCTTTGACTACCTGCGCTCGCGCATGCTCGCCATAGCGCCAAACCTCACGGTGCTGGTGGGCGAGCTGGTGGGGGCGCGCCTCATCGCCCACGCAGGGTCGTTGATGAGCCTGGCCAAGCACCCCGCCTCCACCGTTCAGATCCTCGGCGCTGAGAAGGTAAGCCTGCCACCAATTTCGTTGCTGCTGGTTGGGGGGTTCCTTCCTGGTGGGAGAGAGCCCGTCTCCCTTATTTCTCATCGCTCACACACACCAGCCTCTCAAGTAGGACCGCAACAATTGTGTTGTATGTATGGTAGTGGCCACACAGTCACACGCACACCTGAGTATCACCTTCCTTCCACGCCCCCATATACCAACCCCCTTTCTCCCTCCTCCAACTCCTCTGCTCCGCATGTTTTTTGAGAATTCTAAAAAAACATACTTCCTTCCACGCCCCCATGTACCTACCTACCCACTTGCTCCCTCCTCCAACTCCTCTGCTCCGCATCTCTCCACTCCTGCTTCACCTACCTGCCTGACTGGCGCTCTTCCATGCGCTCAAGTCGAAGCACGATACGCCCAAGTACGGGCTCATCTTCCACGCCTCGCTCATCCCCCTTGTTTCCCTTTACCCCCACCTCCTCTCCTTATCATTCCCCTTCCCCCCCCCCCCCACCCCCCCAGGCGCTCTTCCGCGCCCTCAAGACGAAGCACGACACGCCCAAGTACGGGCTCATCTTCCACGCGTCCCTCATCGGCCAGGCGCCCCCCAAGCTCAAGGGCAAGATCTCCCGTGTTCTCGCCGCCAAGTGCTCGCTTGCTATCCGCGTGGACGCCCTGGGTGATGCCACCGAGCCGACTGTTGGCATCGAAGGTCGCGCCAAGGTGCGTGGGATAGGGGTTGGATGGCACAGAGGTGAAGGGAAAAGGAGGGGTTAGGGCAGGCGCCCCCCTAGATCAAGGGCAAGACCTCCCGCGTGCTCGCCGCCAAGTGCTCCCTTGCCATTCGCATGGACGCCCTGGGAGATGCCACGGAGCCCACCGTGGGGATTGAGGGCCGCGCCAAGGTGCGTGGGAAAGGGTTGGGGTTGCGAGGGGAGAGCAGGCAAGGTACTTGTGTCTATTTTTTAGTACTTTGTTGAGACGACTCAAAAATTGGGGTTGTGAGGGGAGAGCAAGGAAGGTACTTGTGTCAAGTGCATGCAGTCTCTGCTTTCTATGCAACGTGTTTCCGCTAGTGCCTGCCACTCGTCTCTGTGCAGTGCAGTGCACTGACTGTTCTCTGTTTTCTGCTTTTATCCCCCCACTTTCTATCTGCTTCCTGTCTTTCCTTGTGAAACAGATCGAGCAGCGGCTGCGGCAGCTGGAGGGGCGGGTGCTGGGCAGTGCGAGTGCAGCAAGCAAGGGCAAGGCGAAGCTGGGGGCGTATGACAAGGACCGGAAGGAGGGCACGGGAGGTCTCATCACCCCTGCCAAGGTGAATATGTCACGGGGAGCGTGTTGAAGCGATTTACATAGCACAGTGCGAGCGAGTGCAGCGAGCTAGGGCAAGGCGAAACTGGGGCCGTTCGACAAGGACAGGAAGGAGGGCGCGGGCGGCTTGATTACCCCTGCCAAGGTTTTTTTTTTTACCCGCCTTGCCCTGTAAAGGGGTGACTTATACGTCACACGGCAGTGCGTGAGGTGACTGGTGAGTGAATTCAAAACGTGTGTTTCTTTTAGGCAGCAGGTCGCGGAAATGCATACATCAGCTCATTCACTTTCTCCCTCTCTCCACTCCGCCTCTCCTCTCTTCTTCCCGCTGCAGGCATACAACCCTGCTTCTGACGCACTGCTGACAGCCAAGTCCCCAGCAACGGACGCAACACCAGCAGCAGCAGAGGAGTCGGTCAAGAAGGCGAAGAAGGAGAAGAAGGCAAAGAAAGACAAGGAGAATGGCGAGGCCACTCCCTCTGCCGCTGCCCGTGTGGATGCCGACGGGGCCGAGCCTCCTTCCACTGAGGTGCGTTGCGGTTAGGGTAGGAACCTTTGTCTATCAAGAAGGCGAAGAAGGAGAGGAAGGCAAAGATTGACAAGGAGAATGGCGAGGCCACTCCCTCTGCCGCTGCTGCTTCTCGTGTGGATGCCAACGGGGCCGAGCCTCCCTCCACTGAGGTGTGTTGTGGTTTGAGAGGAGGCCTTTCTGGGGGCATTTATGGATTGTGTAGGTCTATGTAGGGCATATTTCTGCTTCTCGCAGTTGAATAAGGCGTGTTTTTGGTCCTTGCAGGCGGTTGGGCTGTTTATGAAGGTTCAGGTTTCTGGAGTCAGCCATTTCTTCTGCGGACCCTTGGTTCCCCTTCTACACCTCGTGTTCTTCAACAACACTCTCCCATGTTCGTTGTGTCTTCTTACTTTCCTCCCTCCTCCCCTCTTTGCATCTGTGCCTGCTCTCAGAAGAAAAAGAAGAAGAAGCGCGACCGGGAGGAGGAAGGCAAGGCAAAAGAGGAAGCAGCTGCTCCGGTGACCCCCGCATCTGAAAAGAAAAAGAAAAAGAAGGATGCAGCAGCGGATGGGAGTGCAACGCCTGGTGCAACCGACGGCTCGGCCAAGAAGAAAAAGAAGGCCAAGGAGGAGGATGGGGCGACACCGGGGACGAGTGGATCAACCAAGAAGAAAAAGAAGGCGGCAGAGTGAGGATTGGAGGGGTGAAACTACTGCAGCAGGTGGATTAGGTTACGGTTTGTTAACTGCAGTAGAGCTTAAAAAGGCATGTGGTAGAGGTGTGAATTGCAACACTTGCATATAGCATAGATGCTCTGCTGCTTCATGTTTACCTTACGAAAAAATCCTTCACCGCAATTGCAAGGAGTTGTAGAGGAATATGGAGATTTGAGTTGGCAATCTGGTTCTGGTGCTCAAATAAATCATTGGTTGTGGGGCCTCGGCTATGTCAACCTAAAACCGATTTCAACCGGCAAAAGTGAAGTGTAATTTTTTAACGGAACCGCTAATGTCGAACACTGTGCATGCAATATTGAGCCAAGAATCTGTCCAGCAGCCCGGAGAGTCCAAGGTCAGGCGCAAGCAACGAGCTTCAAGGTCAGCCTAGAGATTCCAAGCTCACTCCTCTTCAGGTGCAATGTGGATTGTCACCTAGATTGCCGCCTGAAGTAAGTTGTCGTGGTAGACTGTTGGCTTTAGGTAGATTGTCGCCTATTGTAGACTCCTGGGATGGCGACGCGTTGCCGGATTTCCTCGTCCCGCTTTCCCCTCTCAGTTCCCACTGTCGCAGTTGCGTCTCTCCTTTACACCCTTTTCTCGTTACTATCGCGTTCGCTTCCCGCGAGTGCGGCGCGTACCTGCCACCAGCAACCTGACGTCAGCAGAAGAGCCTGACTTTAAGAGCCTTGGGATTCGCCAGCAAGTGACTAAAAACAAAGGTTCTTCCGTCGATGGTGGAGTAAGCGCAGGCTCACGGAGTGGCACTAGAGCGGAAGGTCCCCCCTCTCCCCCTGTTTGGCCGCCGAGATTCCAAGTTGACTTTAACGAGGTGAGGAAGTTCTGTGTCGTGAACTTGTTACGAGGCAAAAATGCAGTAACGGCTTTTGGGGAGATTTATTTCATTTCAGTATATGTACCTTCCCTTGTTCACTTCAGCGAATACAATCCCCCTCGTTTACCCCAAAGGCCTCCGCTCAATCACCCTGACAACAGAAAATTTTCCTACCCTTGCAATGAATTTACCTTCCCTTGCAATGAATTTACCTTCCCTTGCAATGAATTTGCCTTCCCTTGCTTACTCCAATAGATTTACCTCCCTGGTTTCTCCTGACCACAGGAGATGTACCTCCCCTGGTACACTCTGACAACGGAAGGCACCTGGTGGTATGACTACACCATGCGCAGGCAGCGGATTGACCGGCGGGATGGGAGGGGGGATCGATACTGCGGGTGAGTGGGCGCTTCTGATTCTTTGGGCGCCTTAGAATGAGGCGAACATTTTTGTAAGGCCTTTCAGACGAATGAAGGGCGGGGAGAAATCGATATGGCTGTTTAGGCGCCTCATTTGGAAAGAAGGAAAAAAAAAGGGTGGAAAGATAGACACTGAGGGTGGGTGGGTGGGTGGGTGAGTGCACTCACCTCATATTGAGGGTGAGCGAGTGCTTGCCCTGATCCTCTTCTCATTCCCCATCGTCTTTTAGACAGCACTCCATGCGCCCACCTGGTGCTCTCTAAAGGTCCCCCCTGCCCCCCCCATCCTCTCCACTCTCCCCCGTTGCTCGCACCCTTTCTTGTGTGCAGCTCCGCTCTACCTTTGAGGGCCACCCCATGCACTCAACTGGTGCGGGACTCCTGGCGGTATCTCGTCTACCCCCTGGCTAAGGTGACACATCTTCTCGTCGTACATGTATTTACAGAATGTCGTAGTCATAACGTGTGTGTGTGTGTGCGCGCGCGCGGGCGCGTGCGTGCGTGCCTGCGTGCGGGGGTGGATGGGTGTGTTTTTCGTTTCCTTGGGGTTTTGAAAGTACGTCGACGTGAACTATGTTACAAACATTGGACCGCATGTTTAGAAGAGTGCACTTTTCTTGTTGTAAGGCTGCTACCGCTTGGCTGTACGCACGCACGCACCCCACCCTGCCACCCTTGCGTGCACGCGCTACCGCTGCTTTTTATGCACCTCAAATACAGCCTTAACTGTCAAGCATTTTCTCTCCATCCCTTCTTTCTCCACCCTTCCATCCCTCTCCTCTTGGCTACACACAGTACTGCTGCCGCTGCTGCTCTGTTGCTCTTGAGTTGACTCAAAAGAAAACTCCTCCGTCAACCATCGCCTCTCAGCATCTTCTCGAATGGTCCTTTCATTCATGTAGGCATCTTCTCTCTCTCTCTCCCCCTCTCTCTCCATACGCCCCACACCCCTACCCCCTTCCCCGTCCTCCTCTTGCCTGCACACAGTTCTGCTGCCGCTGCTGCTCTGTTGGCAATCCCCTCTCAACCATCTTCCTTTTCCTTCCCCCCCTCCTCCCCCTTCTCTTCTCCTCCTCTCTTGCCTGCACGCAGTACTGCTGCCGCTGCTGCTCTGCAGCCAATGGGTGTGATGTGGTGCGCCCTGATTGGCTGGCCGATGCCACCTATATGGGCCGGGATTTCGTGGATGACATTCCCTCCACCAAATGGTGAGGAGAGGCGATGAGGGGGATGAGGGGTGAGGAGGGGTGATCAGGGGTGATCAGGGGTGATGAGGGGTGATGAGGGGTGATGAGGGGTGATGAGGGGGATGAGGGGTGATGAGGGGTGATGAGGGGTGATGAGGGGTGATAAGGGGAGATGAGGGGTGATAAGGGTTGATGAGAGGTGATGAGGGGTGATGAGAGATTCTGAGGGGAATTTGCCTGGTGCCTGCTGCCCCTTGACCCTTGTTTGTCTTACTAGGATGATCTTGTGCCGTTGTGGTGTTTGCCGTGTTATCTTGTTCGGCCACTTCCTTTATGTCCGAATAATGTCTGCATGCGTTACCATCTGCATGTTTTGCTATGTGCCATGTGCATGTGTTGCCATGTGCATGTGTTGTCATCTGCATATGTTGCCATCTGGGATTGTTACATCTGACAATGAATGCGAGCGAGCAGGAAGCAGCAGAAACTGCAGAACAACTACTACTGGCACTCAGAGGATGATGTCCCCATGCGGATTTACATGGTACGGCAGTAATGCGCGTGCCTGTGATGGGGATGCCTGTAACTGATATGCCTGTAATGGAGATACCTGTAATGGATATGGCTGTGACTCTTGAGAATTCTCAATACTGGCATTCAGAGAATGATGTTTCCGTGCGAATCTACATGGCACGGCATCAATGCATATGCCCCTCGGTGTTGGCGTTACTGTTGATACCCCATCCCATCCCTCATCTCATGGAGCAAATGACCTCTCACGCCTCCTTCAGTAAGCCACACCACTTTCCCAGCGCCACCTTCGGTCTAACCCATCCCCTTCCCTGCTCCATCGCTCACCCCTTCTCCCCTCACACTGTCTCCCCTCACACTGTCTCCCCTCACACCATCCCCCACAGGAGCCGTTGGAGCAAATGACCTTCGTTCATGCCTCGTTTCAGAAGCCGCACACCTTTCGCAACTCCACCTTTGAGCTACCTTCTGACATGGAGTAAGTGAGAGCACATCAACCCATCCACTGCTTAGTGGCATCTAGCGCCTTTGAGTCTGCTTTTGAGTCGACTCAAAAGCCAACCCATCCACTGGTTAGTGGCTTCTTGCGCCTTGTCTTTGCCGCTCTTGTCATTCCCTTTTCACTGCGCCCTCTCTCAACCCCTCCCTCTCTCACTCCCTCCCTCCCTCTCTCACTCCCTCTCTCTCTCTCACTCCCTCCCTCTCACACTTCCTCCCTCTCTCACCTCCTCCCTCTTTCACTTCCTCCCTCTCCCACTTCCTCTCTTTCACTTCCTCCCTCTCTCACTTCCTCCCACTCTCACTCCCTCCCTCTCTCACTCCCTTCCTCCCTCTCTCACACCCTCTCTCACTCCCTCCCTCTCTCACTTCCTCACTCTCACACTCCCTCTCTCTCACTCCCTTCCTCTCTCTCTCTCCCTCGTTGCACTCCCTTAACTCTGTGCCTTCACAGCTGCTCACAGCTCTGCTACGGCTTCTGCGCGCTGGTCCGACAAACCACACACTAATGTGACCAACAGCACGCCTCACATCAGTTCTTGTGATGTCTCAAGTTAAGCTCTGCTACGGCCCCTGCGCATTGGTCTGTAAAAGTACACTTTAGCCTGATGACAACACGCCTCATGGCAACACGTGGAGACCTTGTAGGCACTGCTCTGCTACGGCTTCTGTGCGCTGGTCCGTCAAACCACACTCTAGTCTGATGACAACACACCCCGCATCGACAGCCGGGGAGGGGGGGAGGGAGGGGAGGGGGGGGGGGGGGGGGAGGAAGGGGGGTGTTGAAGGCGCCGCTCTGCTACGGCTTCTGTGCTGATGAAGGCCTTTGCTGGCCGAAACGCGTTCGCACGCACATCCGGGCCTATGTGTCTGGCTTTCTGATTAGTATACCTTCTCTTACTACCCTCGTCTTTCAGACAAGTGCTATAGATCGTTACTCTAAGCAGACTTGCTGCGTTTCGAACCCAACGAATTTCAACTGTGACGGAAGGGGGGTGTTGAAGGCGCTGCTCTGTTGCGGCTTCTGCGCTCTGGTCCGTCAAACCACATTCTAAGCTGAGACAACGCGCCCTGCATCAACACGAGATGATGCCCTAAGTGCTTCCTCCTAAACTCTGCTACGGCTTCTGTGCTCTGGTCTGTCAAACCACTCTAATCGCGGCGATAAGTTGATTTTTTTAGGCGGCTCACCAATCAATCCATGCTCTCTCATCTCATCCAGGACGCCTCACGTCATGGCAGAACGGCTCTGCTCTGAGAAACTGTGCTCGCCACACTCATCGCACTCGTCAAATGAATCAGCACGTACATTACACATTGATAAGATTACCATAGATCATTACACAATCCAAATAATACGGTAGCCCTACCCTAGCTTGAGGAGGGCACTATGGTAGTTGAGGGTGCATGCCTGGCCTAGCCCACACAAGCCAGACCACCATGCACATTTACTGTAGTGGTACTCGCTAAAAGCGGCACTTGCTGAAAGCGAGTACGGTGACACCTCTCGAGGATTCTCGGAAGTGAGTGAACTGTCCGAGTGATGCTCGTGGGGGCTTACTCCAGGGTTGAAGCATCCTCGTGTTAGATTCACATGAGTTTCTTGATTTGAAGCTGGCTGATGCACAGATGTCTCAATTCATGCTTTCACCAGCACCTGAGTTTCATAGGCACAGCTCTGTTGAAAGCACCTGAGGAGCACCATGGCCACCCGCCTGTCTCACCAACGCTGTTTCCTCACCAAGCTGACCAATCAAATCCATCTCCACTGACACACGCGCAACCACCATCCCTCCTCTTCCTCCTCCTCTTCCTCCTCCTCCTCCTCCTGCCTCCCTCAGACCAACACTCCCCTCATCCACACACACCCTCCTCCCTTCCATCCCCTCCACTCCTGGCCCAGCGAACACATTCCCTTTCTTTTCTGTTAAGCGCCTTTCCATCCCCGCTAACCCCTCACCACCGCTCCCCACCAGACCCTGACCGCTCAGCCTCCCTTGAAGGTACAGCGCTTGAATCTCCTCAAACATTCTGCCAGCCGTGCCCGTGCCAGCGCCACCGTCAGCAGAAGCAGCAGAAGCAGCAGGGATGGAGGACGACAGGGGGGGCAGAACAGGGCAGCTCGTGCCAGCATGAAACACAATATCGGTAACCGCCTGAGCAGCACCCTCAGCCCGCTGCGGTGCCTCCTCTTGCTGCGCCTCGCCCAATCCTAGTATCCCACGTGGCAGTCTTGCCACCACCGGCCTGTGCTGAACGCTCTTGCGCCCGTTCATCCCCAACCCATGCAGGCCAGCAGCGGTATCTGCTGCTTGCGAAGCCACCGCGAACGGGGCAGCGGCGGAAGCTGCAGCAGCGGCTGCAGCAGCTGCTTGCGACGCCACGCGATGCTGCAGATTCGCCTCCACATACGACCACAGCGTCTCAAACCCTTCCTCCGCCTTCCCACACGCCACGCCGCCATCAGTAGCGTTCAATCCCTCCGCCGCCGCCCTCACCGCGCTTGCGTCCGCGGACGCGGGGGCGGCGGCGTCAGCAGAGTCTCCGCGCGCGGAGGAGACGCGGACGCTGCCGCGGGGGAACACGAGTTGCGCTGTCAGGCTGACCTCGGCTGCGGGACTTCGCGCGCACGCAATCCCCCCCAGCAGACCGCCGTCGTACCCGCCCGCGCTTTGCCGCACGCCCGCCGCCGCGGAGCTGTCGCGCGCTTCTGCGCCCGCCGCAGCACCAACGTTGGTGGCGGCAGCGGCAGAAGCGGCGGCGGCGGCGGTCGGGCGCAGGGTGTCCAGCAGCGCGGAGAGCAGAGGGGCTTTACGCGTCGACCGCGCATTTAACGCGCCCAACGGCGGGAATGAGTACAGGAAAGAGGAAGGGCCGGGCGCGGCGGTCGGCGGGGGTTGCGGATGCATCGCGGAATCGCCGCGCTTGACGGCCAACACGTCATGATCGCTGCCAGCAGTGCCGCACAGCCGGCGCCAAGTCATCATGGCGCTTCCGCGATCCCACCCCGTGGCGGCGGCATCATTCGTCCTAGTCTTGTGATGATCGTCCGCCGCCGCGCCGCGCGCCACCGGGCTCCGCGCCCGTTTCCGACCTGCGTGCGCGCAGGGCGGAGATCCGCTCGGCCGCAATCCGCGCGGCGGAAACCCGCAAGGCGGAGATCCGCGCTCCAGCCCCGCCGTCGCAGGTTCGGGGCTGCTTGGCCCCACCGGCGGGCTGCGCGACTTGGGCGGAAGCGGCCAGTCCGCTAGAGTCGGGGTCAGCGGGCCGCGCGGGGTCCCTCCGCCGCTCCCGCCGCCGCCGCCAGCGTTCTCGGCGCCGCTGGTGGAGGAGGCCGTCCGCACGACCTTCGGGGCAGTAAGCGTCGCAGCGGGCGGGATGGTCATGGTACCCGCCGGCGGCGGCGGAAGCACCGTGGCGGCGGCGGAAGCATTAGTAGCTACGCCGGCTCTCGCCGCCGCGATGTGGATGCGGGGCTGCGCAACGGCGGCGGCGGAGACGATCATGTGGAGCGGCTGCTGCGGCGGCGGAAGGTGGTTGTGCCGATTGCGGCACCAGAAGCGGCGGGGGGTGAGCGTGCGATCCACGCGTCGCTCGAGCACGGGAAGCGCGTCGAGAATCTCGCGATTCTCCTCCCATCCGAAATCGGAATCGTCCAAGTCTTCTCCCTTCTCCCCCAGGCCAGCGACCGCAGGTCGCGGCGAGCCGGACTCGCGATCAGCCCCAACAACAGCTCCATCAACCGGCGGCCGCCGCGCGGCGGATCCTGGAACTTCCCGCGCCGCCACCAAGTCCTTAAGTTCCGGGCGGCGGCCGTGCTTGGACTTCTTCTTCGGGACCTTGTCGATGATGAGCTTCGCGGGACAGCCGGTGGTGTCGCGCTCCGCGCAGTGGTAGTAGAACCTGCGATGGCGGGATGATTATCAGATTAGGGTGGAGCCGAGTGAGGTTGGGCAATGAGACTTGATCGAAGAGTTTCACTAACGATTTGAAGTGCTTCGATAACATTACAAGACACAAAAACGATTTGGGAATTGCTATACTACACTGACAAAAAGGTAGGAGAACTGCGAAAGAAAAAAGGAATGCAAAAATATATTTATAAAATCAGAAAATCAAGCACGCTCCATTGATTACCTTTTTGCATTCTGAGAAGACAGGAATTTATGCCCGTATTTTTTCCATTGATACGATTCCGCCATTTCGTCTTTGTTAGCAGTTGGACTGCCAGATGCGCCGTCGCATCCGCCGCCACCACCCGTGACGCCGCGGGCGATGGGGTTTGCGTTGTTGGAAGAAATACTTGACAGAGTTACGTTTTCCGTAAAATAATCGTTGCCGCTGCCGCCGCGACAGTGTGACAAAATGGTCGTAGCCGCTGCCGCTTCGCGGAGAGGATTTCGGCTTAAAAGGCGGGCTAACAATTCGGAGTCGAAATGAGACAATCTGCACCAGCGGCATGTGAAGAAGCCATGGACTCCATGTGACGGATAATTTAAGTCTCGAGCGTTCAGAGCTCGGCGTGTCTCTGAGAGACGTTCACTGGCGATTTCACTGATTGCGAGTAGTGGGGTTCGAGTGCAAGGCTGTGAAATGAGTGATAGGGAACAGCGGGCGATTGGAAGAATTGCTTGCTTGCTTGGTCGGGCGGGATCCCCCTCCCCCAGTCGTGTGGCTCAAGAAGCCTTGATGGGCCTCGCACAAACGGTTTTGGAATAACTAGCAGCGCCTACAGTGCGACGTGAGGCACCCCAAACACATGCTGCAGAATGCATCTCTCGCACGCAGGCGTGCTGGGTGGTGCAATGCAATCGTGGGAAACGGTTTCTTAGTGGATCCTCTTTGTTAAAATTGCTTTCTACACCTGGGTGTGTGCTCATAATTGTCAGATTGCCCATTCTTTGCAGGGTACGCACTTATCATGGAGTTACAGTCACTGCCACAATCCCTTTGTGCACCTACATTCTGGCTGCCTGCTGAATCTCTGACTATCGATCGTTCACGCCAATTCTTGCAAGCACACCTGGGCATAAACTGTCTTTTTCGGGCAGAAGAAATTGTTTGCAAAAACAAGATTTGTCTTGTCGTCGTGCTGAACTGTCCTGAAGGGCCCTGGGGGAGTGAGTGGCAGATGGCAGCGAACCAAACTACCGAGTGGGTCGAGGAAATCCCATGCTTCAGGCAGAATCACACACTCAAACAGAACTTCCCCCTTGATCTAGTACCGCATTTGAACGCTTATTTTACAGTACAATTGAACTCGGAGATTCCTGGGCTGGAATAACTTATGAAAACATGAGTGTGGGAGATCCAACACCATTTGTCGGACTTGATGCTACATCCCCTCCTTATGGCGCGTCCCACACATTCAAGATGCAGGCGCGAAGGAGACGTGGCAGTGTGTAGGCTACTCATTTCAAGGGTGCGTTTGAATGCAACAAGTGGTTTGTCGCTTTCTGCAGTGAAGTCACGGCAAGGGCTGAGCAGAACACTCTGTTTTCGATAATTACACACCCCTTCAACGTGCTCTCTAGGGGTACAGACCCTGTTAGGTCACGGCGTATTTCGAGAAATATGGGGAAATTTTCAACACCCTAGTCGCAAATTGCAAAAAGCGATAAGAACTCGAGGGCACCTCCCAACCCCCGTCTTCATTCGAAATACTTAGCACAATTTTCCAGAGACTGCTGGTGATGTCAATTGGTAGTCCCTGAAGTTCTCAATGTCCGTCGTTTCAAAACAGAGGGTAACTGCACACCCCCCACCCTCTGTTTTCGAGTCACGTATCTCTCTGTTTATGATACGCACTCAAAACAGAAAAACAGTACATGGAAGACCACAAGGTCCTACGCGTTCATCAAAGCAGCATTTTCAGAGCACCGGACATCACACAAGCATCGGGTACTCGCAGCCGTGTAGACTCGCAGCCGTGTAGACATCACACAAGCATCGGGTACGTCGGAAAATGCCTTTCTCTTCACGGACAGAAAAGCTGGTCCCACACTCCCAGGAATGGGGATTGGGAAGAAGACCCAGCCCAGACCGCTAGCTGTTGATTGGATGCGGTGAAAACTGTCACGGGTAGGAATTGATATTATTTCAAGGGCCATTTTCAGGTGCGATCCACACTTGCCAGGAAATCTACTCATGTGCGATCCATGTTATTTTGCAAGAACGAACACCCGATTCAGTTTTAGATGTTTCTGTCTAAAAACTCATTTTATCCGAGATCCGATTCAAAATTACACAAACAGTCGGAATCAGAAGAGATTTCGAATCACGCCAAGAAAAATTCGAATGGTCACATCATTTTGGCACAATTTCGACGCCTAATTCAGATTCGCACTACGAAATTTTGTAAAGATATTTTTTAAGCCGGATCAACTGTACTCTCGACACAGGTGACGGATATTGCGCAGGTCATTTCAGCATTCTCTTCTTGGGCGTGCACCCCAAAACACGAGAAAATGTCTGGGTGATAATAAAGTTTACCCTCACTTTAAAAATAGCCAGCTGGATTTTGTTTTTCGCAGTAGAACGACGCTGCCATAATATATATATATATATATTTAACCCCTAAAGAACCTGGAGCATTTTGGGGTTGATTCTTCCCGAAAATGCTTACAGGAACTTTACGGTTTCTTTTAATGTAGCGTCGTCTAGTACGAGAAAAAACTAGTGGGGTATTTACGGCAAGGGTAAATTGTATAAATTTCCGGGCACTTTTTTCGTGTTTCGTGGTGCACGCCCATGAAGGGAATGCTGATTTGCCCTGCGCAGCGTCCGTCGTGTGTCTCAACAATACAGCTGATCCGACATAATTGTTCTTTAATGAAATTATAGTGCGAAGCAGAATTAGTCGTCGAAATTGTGCCAAAATGATGTGACCATTCGATTTTTTCTTGGCGTGATTCAAAATCTCTTCTGATTCCGACTGTTTGTGTAATTTTAAATCGGATCTCGGATAAAACGAGTTTTTAGGCAGAAAGACGTAAAACTGAAGCAGGTGTTCGTACTTGCAAAATAACATGGATCGCACATGAGTAGATTTCCTGGCAAGTGTGGATCGCACCTGAAAATGGCCCTCATTTCAAAGTACATAGATGACGTAATCTGTTAAAGGGGAATTTACTGTTCCCTTTGAATAGTACTTTCCCAAACCATCCAACTCATCCCTATCCTGATATTCTTGGATTTCCTAGTGCCAAGTGGCACTTTACATTTCTAGCTACACATAGCCCGCGGTAAATTCACCGCGTGAAAGTGGGTAGCATGATTTTGGATTATGTGGCCGTGGTGAAGATAAACGTTCAAAATTTGGTTCGCTATTTTCACCACAAAATAACTGACCAACATAGAAAGTTCTGACAGTACCCCGCAAAAGGAACACTTTGCTCTTTATCACATCAAGTTTCAGGTAAGAGGGAGCATCGATGGTGACGATTCGCTGAGAAAATCCTAAAAGAGAAGTCGTGATTTGTGTCTCGCCAGTGTGCACATCCCCTTAACGACTCCAGCTGAAATATCAAAGAAAGAGGCCGCGATTTCTGCCACTTGGTTTGGTCAACTGTGTTTTGTGATTTCGGCTGCCCAACAGGTTCCGCCCAGTAAGCCGACAAACGTGGTGAAGATACCGCCGGTCAATTTACCGCGGACCAGGTGTACACAATTCCTAGTCCCACAATCCACTTTCCAACCTTGTTTCTTGCATGCTATATCAACCTTGCTTGTATCCACCAATATCAACCAATTCTCATTCAACTCTTCAATTACTTAGTAACTTCTTCGCCTATTTCGCCAATAGTTCTTTCGCCAAAGTCTTCCGCCGCGTTTCATCCTCGACTTAGTCGACCCCGCTAATTCTTTAGCGGACTTAGGCCAGCGGGCCTAACACTTGGGATCAGAGCCTTCGCGGTAATCTATGCACATCCGTAACCCTCCGTCTTTCTTAGGCGCGAACAGGATCGGTGCTGCCCAAGGCGATCTAGATGGCTGTATGAAACTCTGTGCGAGAAAGTGCCTAACATGTTGCGTCATCTCCTCTGTCTCTGCTGGACTCAACCTCAACTGTGGCTTCGCTACTGGCCTACTCCCCGGCTCCAACTCTATTCTATGGTCTACTGCTCGGCTAGGAGGCAACCCTGGAGGAAACTTGTCGGGGAAGACGTCTCTAAACTCCGCTAAGTGTGCACTCACTTCAGCAGGAAGAGGTGTCTTTTTGCTAACTACTGTGCTCCCTCCTTTCCCCTCCTCAGCTTCCACCTCCTCAAGGAAAACCGCGAAGATCCGTGCCGCTCGCTTCACCAGTTGTCGCATACGAACAGCATTGATGATAGCTGTGGATGATGTGGCCCGGTCGCTCCACTGTGGCAGCTCCCGGAACTCCCCGTCTACCTTGACGCTACAGCTTCCCTGAGCCCAATCGAACTGAGTACTAACCGTCCGTAGCCAATCCCTACCGAAGATGAAGTCGTAACTGTCCAGCGTCGTAGAGTCGACATCGCATCTAACTGTGATTGGTCCTAACACTAAGCGCAACTTGCGAATGACTGGTCATGTGTGAAGTGGCGTCCCCTCTACCATGCGAGCATCCTTGAGGTTGACGGCCAAATCTGCTTCGAGATGGACACGACTAACTAGCGATGAAGATATGATCGAGTCGCTAGCTCCGCTATCAATAAGAATCTTGACGAGAACACCGCGAAGCTTCCCAAGAAGCACCATTGGTGGATCAATAGTGTATACCTCATTCGGCGCCGCTTCAAATCCTTTCCATGTCGTCGGAACCATGGTAACACCTAAAGCTAGACTCCCTAAGCTCGAGGTTGCAGCTCTCCTCAACAGCGTTACGGCGTATTCGATCCGCTGCTACACGTCCGCCTCTTGCACTCCACTCGCGGCGAAGTAGTTGTTGAGCATGAAGAGCCACGTCCGCACGTTCGCGTCGCGTTGACTTGGGTCGAACGACTCGGGTTTCTGCGGCTTGAGTGCGCTTCGACGTTCCGGCAGCGCTTCTGCGCCAGTCGGCGTGTTGGGTGCGGAAGATGGTGCGGCATGACCATGGGGGTTAGAAGCCAAATTGCGAAGCTGTTGCATTTCGGACGATTTTCCAACGTTAACTCTTCGAGTCGGCGCATGAGTTCGGTAAGCGTGATGCCCATGTCATAGGGGAGAGCGTGCATGGTTTCGTCCATGTTCGCTCGACGACTCCAAGTCTGCAAGTCGGCACCGCGGGACGATGACGTCGTAGTCTCGTCGTCGACGGTTGCTCGTTGGAAGTCGCTCCTTGATGGGCTTTGATACCAAGTGTTGGAAGTGTGGGGGAGGGATTGCCCCCCACGCGAAAGACCTCCCTTAACTCGGACCAAGGGAGGGTTCGTTCTCGGAAGTTTGGGCGACGGCGGATTGTCCGCATCGCCACTCAACCGACTTCGTCCCCGGTTGGGTCCGAAACTTTGTGAGGGCGACATTTGGAAGCCCCACAAGTGCAAATGAAAATAGCGATAGTGTGGGCGAATGTTTTTTTAACACCTCGCTACAGTCGCTACACTTTCGTGTAACAAACACTTTTGGTGTGAAGAAACGAACCCGGCAAAGTCTGAAATTGTGAACGCGAACGTCGCGGAAATTGGATGCAATCTTAAGTCCGAATTTATGGCGAGTCGCGCGCGGTTCGATGTTACATTTCTACATGTGTGTTCAAGCTATAAAATCCAGAGAGCAGAAGAGAGAGAGATGCCTTTGACGACTTGTGTACCCATCCTTGCATAAAATACAATTACTCTCTCGTTACTTGGGCGATTTCATTGATCTCAAGTGCTACGGTTTTATCGCTCCGAGCCCGTCGTATCGATTTTAGGCTCCACCTTTAACTCGCCAAGTAGACTCTGTGGCGTCAGTTAAACCAGAGGCAAATTCTTTCATGGTATGAAAGCTAGAGTAGGAGTGCTCGCTCAATCGTTGCTACGCCATGGGTTCGTCCGATACTTCATCGACGACGAATGCACCAACGGCCCCTTCCTTCCCAACGGACTTCTTGAGCGCAGTGCCCATTTTCAACGGGGAACACTTCTCCTCATGGCGTTTCAAGCTCAAGGTGTATATGATGGAGCGCGACTTGTGGGGATTCTTCGATGGGTCGGCATCGAAACCCACTTCGGATGCTTCAACGGCGGAAAAGGAAGCGTGGGAGCGGAAGGACAAAAAGGCGTTTGCCTTTCTTGTCTCCAAGCTAAGTCTCCAACTCGTCCCTATCGTTAGTCCGTGCATCGACCGTGGCAGCGCGACTCGTGAAGCGTGGAAGCGACTCGAAAATGAGCACGTCTTCAAGTCGCTATATAGTAAGCTTCCAGCGCGCCTCGACTTCTTCACCTTGCGGATGAAGGACGACGAGTCAATGCGCGCGTACGTCAACCGCGTGGAGGAGCTTGGCGAGTGTATGGTGGAACTCGATGTAAGCGTGGAGGACAACGATTGGATCATGACGCTCCTCGCGGGCCTCGGTGAAGCGTGGTCAACCGTGATCACGATGTTGGATGGGACGCAAGACACGTGGAAGAAGGAGCAAGTGGTGGCACGCCTCATCAACGAAGAGGCGAGGCGAACGAAATTGCATGGCGATGCAATCGGCGCGGCACACTTCTCCCGCAATGCGAAGGCGGCGCAACGACGGCAACAACCGCGGGAGCTCGAACGGGAGCGTGGCGGCCTCAAGCTCATCACGTGGAGGATCGGCCAACGCCAATCGAGCTCGCGCGCGCGATAGTGCTTGTCGATTTTGCAAGAAGACCAGACATTGGTGGCGCGAATGTCCTATCAAGCCGGCGAATTGGAAGCCGTCGAGTGACGACAACTGACGCGCGCATGTCGCGACATGCAACAACAACGACCGGGAGTTCATTTTCGTTGCAAGTGGCACAACCGTCAGTGGTGTTGACGTGTGGGTACTCGACACGAGTGCCACTCAACGTATGACAGCGTGCGCAACGCAGGTTTTAACAACGTGACAACGGAGGCTCCCGTTAAGCGCGTGATGTTCGGCAACCGTGACACGTTGGACGTCACGGGACAAGGCGACTTGCGGCTCATGGTGGACGGCGGTCCACTCACCATCAAGAACGTATTGGTGGTTCCCGGGCTCTGCGCCAACCTCCTCTCCATTTCGCAATTCACACGCAAGGGGATGCGTATGAATATTGGAGGAACCATGATGGCGTTGAGCACGGCGGATGGCGCACACATCGGCACGGCTCGCCAAGCGGGAGGACTCAAGCGGACGCTCGACGCTCTCCCAAGTGTGGCGACGGCTCAAGCGGCTACCTCGGCATCTACACTCATAACGTAGCATAATCGGTTTGGCCACCTCCACCACGCCGCTATTCAAGCTATGGCAACGAAGGGGATTGTCCAAGGCTTGAAGTTTGTGCGCTCGGGTGGGGACGACGAGAAGTGTGTCGGTTGCACGAAAGCCATTTCCACCAAGCACGAAGCCGAACGCCACCGAACCTCTCAAGCTCGTTCACACGGACTTATGCGGACCAATCACTCCCGCGTCGAAGGGCGGCGCACGCTACGTTCTCACGCTCCTCGACGACGCGACGCGGATGTGTTAAATTCGGCTTCTCAAACACATCAACCACGCCACATCAACCATACTCAAGCAATGGGTAGCGGATGTGGAGACAGAAAGCAGCTTCAAGGTGAAGCGCTTTCGCTCGGATGGAGGTGGCGAATACACCGCTCGGGAGCTCGGCGATTGGTTGAAAGGGCGTGGGACCGCGCATGAATTCTCGACGCCGTACAAGCCTCAACAAAATGGAGCCACCGAACGCTTGAATCGCACGCTCATGGAGTCGGCACAGAGTCTCCTCTCCCATGCTCATGCAGAGAAGCATTCGTGGGGTGAGGCGGTTACGTTGGCAACTTGGATTCGCAACCGGTGCGTGACTAAGGCGTTACTCAACAAGACGCCTCTCAATGCTTGGAGCGGTACGAAGCCGGACGTCACCGACCTTCGCACCTTTGGGTGCACGTGTTACTATCATGTACCCGACGTCACACGGACCAAGCTTGAAGCTAAGGCGCGGGTGGCGATATACTTAGGACGCGTCACAATTGCAACACCGGATGAGGATCGGGACCACACACCGAAATCGCGAGCATCGATCACCACAGCCAGGTTTCGACCCGCGTGGGACACGATCGCCCCGGAGGATCCATTTTTGGCAGAAGTGTTAACGTTTCTGAGCGCTTTGAATGCTTGAAGCGGGTTTTCAGTGCGACTCCGGTTCAACATCGGATGATCTTATTGTGGCGTGAGTTAACGCGACATCTAACGAAACAAGGATACCCTAGCATTCAAGAATTTGCGAAGCTACTGTACACTCCCACATCGATCCCTTGCAGGATCGATGTTTCAATTGTGACACCTCCTTAGGTCCAAGTGTGGATCACAAGGGGGGGCGTGTGTGGGACTTGGAGAATGGGAAACTCGTGGTGCCACGCGACATGGTGTTTTATGAAGACACATTCCCGTCCAAGTCTACGAACGTGCCCTCGGTCATCATCGTCCCTCCACCCTTGGATCCCGCGGATGAGGCGGATGAGGCTCCTACGGCTCCTCCTAGTACGAGTGAGGGGGAGAATGGATCGGGTGCGGTTGGAGTGAGTGGGGATGAAGGACATGCCAAGAAAAAGGAACCCTTCATCTCCTCCTCCCACTATCACTCCCACCCTCGCATCCACTCGCGCTCGGATGACTCTTCATCCCAACTCCAAGTATGATGGCTATTCTCTCGTGGCGGGGGACTATGAGGTGTCAAACATTATATGTGTTGTGTTTGTGTAGGCTGTAGTGGGTTAGCCTATAGGGGGGTCACAACATTAGGGTTTCATATTTGTACTCACAATCCTTTCTAGTTCACCATTCCAGTCCGTTATCACTGACATGGTTTCAGAGCAGGTCCGTCGCTAGGACTGTTCTTAGGGCCCACCTACCTACCTACCTACCTACTGTGCGCCTCGTGCGCCTGCGCGTCCTAGAGCGCTCCTTACCTACCTACCACGCGCACGCAGCTCGCTAGCTGCCCGCGCGTGGCTCTCCTTTTTTTTTTTTTTACCGCGCGCGCCGTACTAGCCGCTCGCGCGCGGCCGTTTTCACGCGTGCGCCCCGCCAGCTGCCCGCGCGCGCTTTATTTTCTTCGCGCGCGGCCCGTCGCGCTGCCTCCCCGCTGCCCGCCGCTGCCCTGTGCGCCACGCTGACGCACCCGCTGCTGCAGCCGCCCGTCGCCTGCTCGCGCACGCCCCGCAGGCCCGCAGCCCGCCGTCGCAGAGGCCGCACGTCAGCAGCCGCCCGTCGCCTGCTCGCGCACACCCCGCAGCCGCCCGTCGCCTGCTCGCGCACGCCCCGCAGCCGCCCGTCGCCTGCTCGCGCACGCCCCGCTGCCCGTAGCCGCCCGTGCGCCGCTGCCACTGCCGCACGTGCGCATACGCAGCTGCCGCCCGTGCGCTGCTTCCGCTGCTGCTTGCGCACCGCCGCCTCCTGCCGTCGCCGCACGTGCACTGCTGCCGCCTGTGCGCCGCCGCTGCCCGTGTGCCGCCGCTGCCCCTACGCTGCCGCTGCCCATGCGCCGCTGCTGCCCGTGCGTCGCTGCCGCTCGTGCACCGCTCGCAGCCGCTGCCGCCCGTGCGCTTCTGCAGCCGCCGCCCGCGAGGCGCTCGCTCCCACTGTTTTTTCTACCTACCGCGCACACTGCTGCCGCTGCAGCTGCCACCAGTGCGCCGTTGCAGCTCCTGCTGCCACGCTCCCTGCCACGTGCCACTACGGACAGTCGACCCCGCCCGCGCCTTACCTAGCGGCCCCGCCGGCCCCGTTGACCCTACGCACACCTTTCCAGCGGCCTAGTTCCTACTCCTACTACTGTCACTATGGCTAGTCCTCCCGTTCTAGCTTTCGATGCCGAGGGCCGTCCGGTGAAGTTCGAAACCTGGCTAGATGACCTGCACCTGTTCCTACAGCTCACTGCCAAAGAAGACATCTCGCTGTACGACCACGCCCTAGGCCATGCTACTGCCCCTGACACGTCTGCTGACAGCACTCTACGCTCTCAGTGGCAGACTCGTGATGCGCACGCTCGCTTTGCTATTCGCAACTCCCTGCCGCTAGATGAGCGCGAGCACTTCGGCCAGTGCAAGACTGCTAAGGACCTCTACACCGCTGTAGTTGCCCGTTACTCCTCACCCGCTTCTGCTACGCTAGGCCGCCTCACTCTCCCCTACCTGTTCCCCGACCTAGCCTCCTTTCACACTGTCGCAGACCTCATCACCCACCTTAAGACTAGTGAGGCCCGCTTTCGCGCTGCTATGCCTGCCGAGTTTCTCACTAGCAACCCCCCCCCCGCTCTGGATCACTCTCTACCACATCGTCACCCGCCTCCCTGACTCTCTGCGCGCAGTCAGGGACCACTTCCTCTCTCGCTCCCCCACTGAGCTCACTGTTGCCCTCCTCGAGAAGGAACTGCTTGCAGCTGAGGCGAGCATCGTCGCTGTAGGCACCTCTCGTGGCGACCCCCGCACCCCGTTCTTCGAGGGGTGTTCCCCTTCCCCCCTCCTCCCCTCTGTCGCCTCTGCTGCTGCTGTCGACCTCCTTGGTGCTGAGAAGGTCGGGACCGCGTCTGCTTCGAGCGGGCGCCGCAGGAGCAAGGGAGGCAGGGGTGGGGGTGGTGGCGGAGGAGGTGGGGGTGGAGGCGGTGGGAGTGGAGGCGCGACTGGGGAGGCTAGTGGCGGCAGTGGGGGAGGAGACAGCAGCGGCGGGAGCGGTGGCAGGGGTGGAGGCGGCAGCGGAGGTGGAGGTGGTCGTGGCGGCGGCAGGGGTGGAGGTGGCCGAGGCGGTGGTGGTGGCGGTGGTGGTCGTGGAGGCACTGGCGGAGGCCCGAGTCAGCAGCCCGCCCCGACGCTTCAGGCCGCCCGTGAGTGGTATGCGCAGCGTGGCTTTACCTGCACGTACGTCATTCGCACAGGTGACCGCAGTGGCCAGCAGTGTGGGAGGCCGCACCCCACGCACCGCTGCTTCGCGCGCCTTAACGACGCGTGGCGCACCCAGTTTCCTGATGCCGCTGAGCTGCCGCGCTGGGCTGATCTGGAAAAGAGGGGTGTTGATATTTGGGCTCTAGACTTTGATGCTATTCTCACTGCCATGTATGCCATGTCTATTAGTGGAGAGGGTGCTCAGTACTTGCGTGTTCCGCCCGACCCGGGCATTCAGGCCAGTCCGGCTGCCGCTCTAGGTGCTAGTGCGTCTGCTCCCACAGGTCCTGGTGAGGCTGCTGCCCTAGGTGCTAGTGCGTCCGTGCCCCCTGGTACTGAGTTGACTGCAGCACTGCACACCTTCACACTGGACTCAGGTGCCTCTCGCTCTTTCTTTCGTGACCGCACTGTCCTTGAGCCACTCGCTCGGCCAGTTGCTGTCTCCCTTGCTGACCCCTCTGGGGGTCCGGTCATTGCGACCTCCTCCACTGTTCTTCCTTGTCCTGCGGTCCCGTCCGGCACGCTTTCAGGTCTCTACCTCCCCTCGTTCTCTACGAACTTGGTGGCGGGTTGTGCGCTCCAGGACTCGGGTGTTCACCAGTTCACCCCTGCCTATGAGCGCGTGACACACTGCACATGTGCTCGGACGGGTCGCCACCTGGCTACTTTCACTCGAGAGCCGGGGTCGGACCTGTACACACTGACCACTAAGTCCCCTCAGGTAGCTGCGTCTGCGTCTAC